TGATCTACGGGCCGCATAACTGCTATAGGTCTGCCAAAGTAGCCTCGGGAGTGTCTCTGTCGATCTGTTGGTTTGACCCTGCTCTGCTTCCTCTTGGGCCCGATGACAGCGACGGGCTGCGGACAGCCATCATTGCTAACAAAGCACGACGGACAGCGGCCCCAACTGGATCCATGGCACGCGAAACAATCCCCTCGTCGAGATCAGCGAGCGCTCTGGCACGGTGACGGACTCGTGGGAAGGGCTGCAGGCGACGTTCGATACAGATGGCAGGCTGCTAGACCCGGCCCGGGGCGCCAAAGTGGCCGACTTTATATGGACGACCATCGACCGGGCTTTCACCCTCAGTCAGAAGGATTGCGCGAACATCCCGGCCAGCAAGAGCCTGCTCGACTTCTTCAGGGACGAGCTCGCGCAGTCCGGGTTCAGCCAGGCAGAGAAGGACGCCTGTCTGGAGTCGGCAAAGATGTGGGGGGCGTACATCGGCTCGCCCATCGAGAGACAGAGCTTGAAGTTCTTCCTCCTCGAGGAGTGCCTTGAAGGGAGTATGTCTTAACACCGCGATGATGGCCCGATGATGACGAGGATGATTTAATAATATTCTACATGCACGGAGACTGACTCTTTTTGCCTCTCTGTGACAGCCAACCTGTTCGTTGCGTCGACATATAAGAACATTCTCCAGAATGTTGCTCGGCCGGCCCTGGAGGGAGCAGAGATACGTTTCAACGAGACAGTCGTTGCACTTGAAGGCAAGACTCGTTCCGTAGGGGCGGATGGCCGGGTACTTGTCCGCACGTCGGCCGGCAAGGAGTATCATTTCGATGAAGTTGTTGCTACGTTTCCCCTCGGATGGCTGAAGCAGAACAAAGGGGCGTTCAGCCCTGCCATGCCACAGCGTCTCTCCGAGGCAATTGACCATATCTCCTACGGCCGTCTGGAGAAGATATATGTGAACTTCCCGGCTGCATTCTGGCGGCTAGAGCCAGCTGCGTCCAACAGTATCAACCCAACGTTCCAGTTCTTCTCACCCAGCTACGTCGACCATCCCAGTACTCCTTACTGGAACCAGGAGTGTCTCTCTCTGGCTGATCTTCCGGGAAGCTGTGCTCATCCTACCTTGCTCTTCTACACATACGGCACCTGTGCGGAGCATGTAGTGTCCAGCATATCTGGCCACCCAGCTGATTCAAAGGAGTATTACAGTATCCTACACACCTTCTTACTTCCGTACATCTCGCGGCTCCCAGGGTACGACGACCAGAACCCGTCATGTAAACCTACCGGTTTCTTGGCTACAGAGTGGCAGACAGACCCCCTTGCGGGCAATGGGAGCTACTCCAACTTCCAGGTTGGGCTGACCGATGGCCTGGGTGACATCGAGGCTATGCGGGAAGGCATGGGAGTTGACAGGGGTATATGGCTTGCCGGGGAACATACCGCACCGATAGTTGGACTTGGGACTGCTGCTGGAGCCTACTGGAGCGGAGAGGAAGTTGCCAGGAGAATATGTAGCATGTAGCAGCGCTCTCTCTCTGAAGCATCTTGAAGTTAGACTTCTTTCCTCGGTATATCGTTATATTTGATTGCATTCAAACAACGCTTATGGAAGGCCTGCTGCTAATGTACATAAAATAACCGTGACTAGTCATCTCCGAGAACACCTTATGAACGAGAAGATAAGAGAAGTAGAAATTAGCAGTAGTCATTGGTTCATGTGGTACTCTGGAACATCAGGTAGAGAGGGAGATCGCGTAAGAGCGTATGATGACTGACAAGAGAGATTCCAGGCAGGCGTGGGTATCAAAGTTTTACTTCACTCACGACCGACTGATGCACCAGCCAACACATACAAGGGACACGGAAAACGCCAGAGAAGCAAACAAACCCCAGAAGGCAGAGGAGATACGCCAGGAAATGAAATAAAGATAAGACAAAAAAAAAAAAAAAAGGAAAAAAGGGCCATAACGCAGGAGAAAGTTTAGAAAACAAAACATAAGACGCATGAAAGGGAGGAGGAATAGGATGAATCAAAGGACGAACGCACTGATAGCGTCCTAGTCCTCCCATATAGTCTCCAGGTCAAGATCTTGTCTGCCTTCAGCACCGCAGACGCTCCATCGCTTGCGCTTGTCGGCCCAGCCGGAGCCAAAACGCGATCCGGGAGAAGAGGAAGATATGTCGACGGCACTGCGTCTCTTGAGGTCATGGGGGAATCCGCCTGCCTCGGCCGCAGCATCCGCCTTGTCGGCGGCAGCTTTCAGCCTCGCGATCTGGTCGGCTTCGATGGCAGCGGCTTCGGCGTCGGGAATGTCGGGGATGGTCTCGAGAGAGGATATGCTGGGGGAGCGAGAGCGGATGCTGGTTGGGGTAGAAGGCATGGAGGAAGCCAGGGAGAGGGAGTACGCCGGATAGGGCTCGTTGAATTTGGCGGGCAGGATAAGCGGGGATGGACGTGAAGGAGACGAGGCCGATGAAGGCGTCGAAGCAGTCGTTGCTGAGGATCCGAGTATCCCACCGTTTGACATATGGCCATTAGATGTGTAACCATTGGATGTCTGCCCGGGGGCGTGGGTGAGTAAAGGGGAAGAGGGTCGACGCCTGGACACACGGGGGAGGGTGTTGTGGAGAGCAGGAGACCATGATGGGGAGACCGAACGCCCACCCCCGGCTCGGCTACCGCCAGAGCTGTAGGCGGTATAGCTGGCCGCAGACTGGCTGGGATGACTGGTGTATGAAACTGGCGAGGCCTGGAGCTCTGGCTGCTCCAGGATGGGCTCTGAAATGGCGATGCTATGGCTACTCGGGAGTGGCTGGCTGCCGCTCCCGACACTGTCGAAGGAGGTCCGCAACGGACTGGGACGCCGCAAAGGGAGCTCATGAGGAGTGACGCCGACCGCAGACGGTCTGCCTGGGCCGCTCTGTGGGAAGACGTACCTGCCGCGAGAGTCGAGTCCTGGGGACGAGTGAGCCCTGGCCATGACCGGAGCGCTTGACGGAGCCGCCAGGGACCGAGATCGAACGTGAGTGTGGCCTCTGGGACCCGGCCCGTTTGCAGCAGGAGCATGCATAGTCGGCGACAGCATCAGAAACGGCTGCTCTTGTCTTTGTTCTTGTTCTTGCTCTTGCTCATGTTCCCGTTCCTCTCTCTGTTCGTGTTGTTCTCCTCGTCCGCCGTCCGGTCGTCGTAGCGCCTTGGGCCGTCCGGGGTCCTCGTGGCCATCCTGCTTCCTCTGCTGGTCGGTCATCGGGTCAGGCGTCATCGTCGACTCTTCCTCTGCCGCCGTCGCCGTCCTGGATAACCACCCAGGCGCTTCCGAGGTGGCCGTTGGGGCTGTCGTTTACCCCAGAGTCATGACACGGCGTTTGTGGGGAGACGCCACTCTCTCCGTCCGCCTCGCTCTCGCTCTCCCCCTTTCGCCTTTCGCTCTGTGCTTGGCTTCCGTCCTGTCTCTGGTGGCTGCTCCGGCACTCTGGCAGCCCGTCCGCCGTCGCTGTCTCTTTCTCTCTCTGTCGTTGCTTCTTCTTCTTCTTCTTCTTCTTCTTCTTCTGATCTTTTGGTGTTTTTTTTCCCCTTTTTTGGCTTCCGCGAAAAAACAAAAAGAGCCTCTTGCTGACTAAGACGGCAAACATTCACGTGATGCCCCTAACCTCCCTATAAAAAGACTTAAGAAGACGCTGGCGATGGACAGATTTTTGATAATGGAGATAGTTTAAGCGATGGAGGGGGAGAGATAAGTTATTGTAGGATAAGTAGAATAAATAAACGAGCAAGATACTATGACTATGCTTGGTTATGCCCGGATGGGCCGGGCTTAGGGGTAGGCCCAAGTTACGCAAGGGTGAAGTCTTCACCACGACGGCGAGCTTCCATGTTGGCCTTCCACTGCAGTCTACTAAAATGGTTACTTGAGACCATGGCAGAAGATGCTGCAGGCCCGCCTCCAGGGCTGAGATATCACTACCTAAGGTACAGATAACAGACATCTCTCGGGTATCAAATCGAATGCCGGGGAAGAACCGGCCTGAACAAGCAACGTTGGGCAGTCTGAGCGTTAGTTAACCCTCTGAGTAGCAAGACGAAGGAGACGGCTATTGGTATTAGTGTGATGAAGCCACCAGAGCATATCAGACAACCGCCGACGATGGCCGTTTCATGTACGGAATAGTCAGATAGTATCAAAGGTAAAAACGGGGAGCAGCAACTTTTGTCGAGCCACCAAAACCACCAGGTAACCATTAGTTAGTTATATATTAGTGCTCCCATCGTGCCAGATCAGAGATAGGCGGACGGACACTGAGTGGAGATGGACTTCCAGATCATATCCGACCTCCATCTCGAGACGCACCCGGCGTACGACTTTGTCATCGAGCGGACCGCCCCGTATCTCGCCCTTCTGGGGGACATCGGCCATCTCGAGCACGACCAGTTCTTCCCCTTCATCGAGGAGCTGCTCTCGCGCTTCGAGATCGTCTTCCTGCTCTTCGGCAACCATGAGCCGCAGTCCTACACCATGGATGCTGCCCGCCGCAAGGTCATCGCCTTCCAGGACCGGCTCTCCGCTCACTCGCCGCCCTGCCCGCCGTCGACTTCGACTTCGACTTCGGCTTCGACATCGGCTTCGGCTTCGACTGGCCGCTTCGTCTTCCTCTCACAAACCCGCTTTGACGTCTCGGACTCGCTGACGGTGCTCGGGTGCACCCTGTACTCGCATATCCTGCCCGAGCAGGACCAGGCCGTCGCGGCTCGCATGTCAGACTTCAAGATGATCGCCGACTGGACGACCGAGACGCACAACCGCGCCCACGACGCCGACCTCGCCTGGCTCAACGCCCAGGTCCGCGAGATCGAGCTGCGAGAGCCGCGCCGCCGCATCGCCATCTTCTCCCACCATGCCCCCAGCCTCGATCCGCGCGCCGTCGACCCCAGGTATGCCGGCAGCAGCGTTACCTCTGGCTTCGCAACCGAGCTGCGCGACCAGCCCTGCTGGACCAGCTCTGCCGTCACCACCTGGGCGTTCGGCCACACGCACTATAACTGCGACTTCGAGCTCGGCGGAGTGCGTGTCATCGCCAACCAGAAGGGCTACTATGCGTCTCCCAGGGACACGTTTGTCCCGGGGCGCATATACTCCTTGTAGCGTCCGTGTCTGCCCTTGTTCCTCAATGCTTGGATCTCTCTGTGCTTGGTAGTTATAAATAATAGAATTAGAAGAATAGATTAAAGATTATCCAGCTAGTCTAGACGCTTTGTAACTCCTTGGTTACTGCGAAGTCTCTGCCGAGGCGCAACTAACTAGTTAGTTACAACGTCAACATCAACCACTAACCTTCTAGCCACTGAGAAGCACCAGCACCAGCACCAGCAACAGCAACAGCAATAGCAATATCTGGCCTCTGTGGATATCTCCAGATACATATTCCGGATAAACTGGCTCGCCCTTTGCGTAGCTCTACCCGGCCGAAGCCCGTCTCGCGCTGGGCCGTGGCCAGTTCTGTCTTCCGCCGTCTCTTCCCTCGCACCCACCACCGCATCAGCGCCCGCTTCTCCTACCTGCGCATCGAGACGCTGCCTCGCCTCAAACACCGCATCCAGGCTCGTATATACAGGGCTATCGTCGAGAGACAGGCTCGGGTGCTCAAGAGACAAGCTGCCGGGCGGACAGGGCTCCTAGGTCTCTTGTTCCCGCGGCCACACCCTCTACCAGCCCGACGCTTCAGCCCCTCGATAGCTGCTAGAAGACCGGTAAAACATGGGCCTGGCGGTACAGTCGGCATTCAGACCGGAATGTTAGGCTCTACCGGTGCCCGGGCGGAAGATGGCGGCAGCAACGGTGAGCTGGGGGAGGAACGGCTGGACGGCGGCGGCCGCGAGAGAGGCGCCAGGCGGAAGAAGATGATGGGATACCTCAAGGCAGCCAATGAGTTACGGCAGGCATACTCGGCCCAGTGGACGAGAGGATACCAAGATCAAGATGCCAGCAGTCCGGGGATGCCTGGTGGCTACCCGGAAGGCGAAGCTACCATTCACGGAGACGAGGAGATGATACTCTTCCCCAGCTACGGGAGACGCCATGTTCGTGGAGGCAAACATCACCAGCAGACATCACTCTCTACTGATGCTGCCGCTGCTGCTGCTGAATTTGAGGCAGCTCTGCCAACCGCGCAGAATGAGTGTCAGAAACCACAGAGTGACACTGCTATTGTCGATGTTGATGCCCGGGGATGGATATACTCCCCCCAGCGAGGGCCCATGAACAGAAAAACCCGCATCCTACTTGCTCTGGCCAGGCGTCTGAGTGGTATTCAGGTCCCGAGCGCCACGTCCTCCGACGTTGATGACTCGTCTGCTCCCGGCAGCCCAAAGTCTCCCAGTCAGGATGACGCTTCTATAAACCAACGGGTGGACTCGATCATGAACAAGGCTCAGGAAGGCGTTGAGGAGACCCAGCAGGCCTCGCAGCAGATGTCTCCTGAACAAATGGCCGCTGCTAATGCACAACTGATGGAGCGATTGACACCCTTTCTCACCATTCCGGCAGTCAACATTCCAGTCACAGTCTTCTTCTTTAACAAGACCCAGAGCCAGTCTAGGACTATATCGACTAATGCTAGTGGGCAGTTCATCCTCCGTGCATCGCTCGATTTTGTTCCTACTCATGTCCGTGTACTCGCTGCAGAACATCTGTCAGCCACAGAGGAAGTCAGCTTGTCTGATCCCGGTGGTGTCAGCCTTATCAGCGACATCGACGACACTATTAAGCATTCTGCCATTGCAGATGGGGCCAAGGAGATGTTCCGTAACACCTTTGTCCGTAATCTGAACGATCTTACCATCGCCGGTGTTGGTGACTGGTACACAAAGCTCGCCGAATTGGGAGTCGGTGTCCACTATGTCTCCAATTCGCCATGGCAACTATACCCGCTTTTGAAAAAATACTTCAGCCTGGCTGGGCTTCCTCCGGGCTCGTTCCATCTAAAGCAATATTCGGGCATGCTCCAGGGAATATTTGAACCTACGGCCGAAAGAAAACGCCCCAGCCTAGAGAGGATCATACAAGACTTTCCCAACCGCATGTTCATCCTCGTTGGTGACAGCGGAGAGGTTGATCTTGAGATATACACCGAACTCGCTATGGCGAACAAGGGAAGAATCCTTGGGATCTTTATCCGTGATGTGACCACGCCTTCAGTGCAGGGGTTCTTTGACCGGTCAAACCCTCGCCTAGAGAGACGAAGGAGGAATAACTCCAGCATCGACTTTAGCAGCCTGTTGAAGACACCAGAGAACAAGCCTACTCTACCACCTAGGAGAAAGTCTGACCGAGAAGAAACAGTGGTCCCAATGGGGAACCTCATCGACCTGGATGACTGTGATGATGATGTGCCGAAACTAGATATTTCAAGTCAGAAGCCAGTATCTACCTCCGTGGCACCTCCAAAACCAGCTAAACCAGCGGGTCTTCGCTCCGCAACGATAGAATCCAAAGGTAGTAGTACCAATAACAATACCACTCACAAGTCTGGCCAAGGGCCATCGTCCACTGCCAATAGAAAACCAGTGCCCGGAAGCCCTAGCAGGTCAGCCACCCTGCCCCGAAACCCGTCCACGGATAGTTACGTTAGCAGCTTCAGGAACCAGGCTGCCATCCTCTACAACCAACTACCCTCGGCCCGCGAATATGCTGAGAGAATATCCAGTGCCATCCCCTTATCTTCCAATCGGACCACTCCCACTTCATCTCCAAAGGCAAAGCCTGCACCTCCTCCAGTACCTCCTCCTCGCCGGAGTGCCACCGTAACCAACACTGGTGCCTCGATGAGTAGTAGTAAAACTACTCCAGGCGCACCAGGAACATCCTCACCCTCCCTTGGGAAAGTCCAGGAAGGGGCAGACTCTCTTGACATTCCTGCTGGTGACCTGAACAGGACAAACTCCATGCCCCCTGCATCATTCAGAAGGGCAAACTCATACCAGTCCTCCGAGGGAATGACAAGCGGCCTGAACAAGCGGGAAGAGATGTGGCTGAGGCGATGGGAGCGAGCGAAGGAGATGCTTGATCGAGACGGGGTCCCTTTGTACAGCTGGCGGGACGGCGGAGACGTGGAGGAGATATGCTTAGAGTTGGTTAGGAAAGCCCAAAAGAAGAGTGAAAACAATAATGATTGTTCGAAGTGAGGTGCTAGAGATAACTGGTTTGGCTGCAGACTATAATAGAATGTTAGAATGCTTTCAGACATTCTATATAAACACCAGCCCCCAGCCCCCTAGTCCCCGATGTATATACTGTAGCCGAGGATAATATGTTGAACTAGCTATCACTCCCACTCATCTGCATGAAACCGGTCGCCGATTTATTTACCATGGACAAATTTGAACACACACACGCCGTTCTTTTGCTACCAATCAGTGGGCTCTCAGCAGTTTGACACAAGATCAGTTAATTATCAAAAAAAATTAACTATTAATTCAATAATATACGAGACAGGTTAAATTTGCATTCCTCCCACTCTGGGTCAAATATTACCTCCAACGAAGCTTCCTACTGATACACAATCGTTAGCTTCTAGCCCTTACTCGTTTGTTAATACCATGCAAAGGACAGGGATGGAAACACTAAATATGATATGTGGTCCCAAAGAAGCTGCCGGCTGTTGGACGATGGTATATGGCCGTTGAAGAGAGAAATCTGGACCCGGTTGGTATCCGCCAGGCTGATGAGACTCACGTACTAATACCCCCACTGATTTGAAGTTTTGTCTCAATGTTCTCACTGTATCAATGCCCATATTTATGACAATCTTTGGAGTCAACACCGACTTGCTACAACATATCTTATACTTTTGTGCATTTGTATTAGTAGCGGAATAGAACTCCATGCACTAATCAGAGCGGAGCAAACAGTAACTACTTTCCAGGATAATGCTTCTATAGGCCTCCATTGCCATATCTAAGGTCGTTTTTACAATCTCGACACTTTTGCTGGAAGGAAGTTAGAAGTTACTGAGATGATGACTAAGAAGTTAAAACCGGGCTATTGTTAGTCAGCAAAGCTTAGTCATATATCTTAGTCATCAGGCGGGGTGTTTCTTACGTCATTGAGAGGCTGAAGATGAAGAAAGACGAAGTAAGAGAAGAAGAAGAAGAAGAGATGGAGAAGACGCGCAGAGTGTACTGACAAGGGGGATATAGAGACAACCATGCCGGACCAGAAAGGAGGCGCGGAAGGCCTAGGCAGGACACTGATGCCTGGCAGCATCATCTCGACGGCGTTGCGGATCCTGCCTCGAGCAGAAGGGCTTCGGTTGAAGAGCGCGCAGGAGACGGTGGCCCTCGTTGGCCATGCATGCATGGTGGAAAGCGGGTTTAGGCTGATCGGGTTGGGAGAAGAGCACCGGGCAGGTACGCGAGAGGCCATTATCTCCGAGTTGACAAGAGCCTAGCTCACGAATTTTGCGTACAGATAGCAGCGATGTCCTGCCTAGAGACTGGAATCTGGGCAGCCCCCCCTCTGCCTTCAAATACTCGCACTCGCATCATCCACCCTCAGAGTACCTGCTCCAGGTCAACCGCCTGGGGAGCATGACGGTCATCTACGCCGTCGCCCTGTTCAACAGCCGGACAACTTCGTTCGACATCTCCACCAACGACTTTATTTCAGATTCGAAGCTTCCAATAGACGCAACAGCCGCGTCTGAAGAGACCATTCGGAGCTTCTTTGTATCGCAGTCTCGTCTTGAGGAGTTTTGCCGCCTGTTCGAGGAAAATATTGTGCAGAAATTGGTGCCAGACCCATCCATAGCTCAGGCCGGCGAGGGAGAGAGCAAAGAGCCCCCGGTCAGTCTACGGGAGCAGGCTGCCGAGCAGTATCCTTCTCGGGGCCCCCTACGTGATGACCGTAGCCCTGGACCTACGCGTCCTTACCCGTTTGACGACCCGCTAGCCATTCCGTCTCGTGAACCCATGCCCGCTCCTCCCGGCGACTTCCCGCCGCCTGGGTTCGAAGACGAATATGAAATCAACAGAGGGCCCCGGGGATCGTTCCCTCTCCATGGCGGATACAGGCGAGGTGAGACGCAGCCTGTCAATATCGGCGAGAGAGATCTCTACCCACAGGGCCTTGCTCCTCACGATCCGCTGCAGAGGCACCTAGGCCCAACCCGCGGGGGTCGAGGAGGCTTTGGCAGCGGCGGAGGCATGCACCCGACCTTCGACGACCCAATGTTCGGTGGAGGCGGACGAGGCGAGGGAAGCTATGACATGCAGGTACCTCCTGGAGCACGGTATGACCCCGTCGGTCCAGGAGACGGTCGACCATATGGACGGGGTTCAGGCTCAGGATCAGGCTCCGGTTTCCCGGGAGGACCAGGGCCGGGCGGCTTTGGCGGCTTCGGCGGCGGCGGTATAATCTAGCCCATAGTCAAGTAGTAGCAAATGTACCATATCACCCCGTTAATCGTCTTTTCAGCGTCTTGCACTCTGTAGCTCTCCTGTAACCCCTGTAACTCCTGTAACTCCTGTGACTCTTGTAACTCATGTAAATCCTGTATGTAACTCGCCTGGAGCTTTGTTGTTGACGTCTTTTTTTTTTTTTTATTGTTGCTCCGGTCATGTGATGTGGCTGGTGCGGTGTGGCGTCTCCAAAACACCAAAAACGCCAAAACCATCGAAACGCTCGAAAAAAGACCATTATTATTATTATTTGCCAGGATCAACCAAAAAAGTCGACTGAAAGACCAAAACAATAGCCTGCAGCTCCTGTCGTCGACTACCCAGGGGAAAACAATTCACGACCTCCCCCCTCGAGCTCCCTCGCGTCTCGCATTCTCCCACTATCCGCGCCTCCTTCGCCCTTCCCTCGCCCGCCTTGCTCGGTTGATTGCTCGCTCTCTCATTTACCCCCCAGCATAGCGACCCCCCTCCACCGCCTGCGAGCTGCTTCCAGGACCACCGCCCCGTCCACCGTCTCTCTAGTGCCATCGATTCGAGTTCTACTCCATGGAAAGCAAGATGGAGATCGATTCAGGGCGGTCTCCTGAACCCCACGGCCTCTCGCTCATCACCGACCCGGAGTCAATACCGACCCTAGACGGCTGGATCGAGAGCCTCATGAGCTGCAAACAGCTTGCGGAGATCGATGTTCAGAGATTATGCGATCGGGTGGGATTTCTCTCCTTTGAAGTTCGATGCTTTTGTCCATCGCGGGCTATTCCCTTCTTCTCCTTTCTTTTTTTGACGCCGTCGCTGTCGTTGCTATTAGATGCCCGTTTTTATGCTAGTCTTGTTTGATGTGCCTGCTTTTGAGGCTAACCAACTTATCTACAAACAGGCCAGAGAGGTTCTGCAAGAAGAGTCAAATGTCCAGCCAGTGGTATGTTTCCCTTCCCCGCCTGGCCATGTGAAATGTTCCAGAGCAATCTAGGGGATGTACTGATGTCCGCTGGTGTGTTGCAGAAATGTCCAGTAACGGTCTGTGGAGACATCCATGGCCAATTCCACGACTTGATGGAGCTGTTCAGGATTGGTGGCCCCAATCCAGATACAAACTACCTCTTCATGGGTAAGTCAATACTCAAAACCCCAGAGCCGAAGACAATGCGTGTCTTCCCCGCCGAGTACAGCCAGTCTAACATATTCTATGTAAAATGATATGAAGGCGACTATGTCGACCGTGGTTACTATTCCGTCGAGACAGTCACTCTGCTTGTCGCTCTTAAGATCCGTTATCCCGGCCGCATCACCATCTTAAGAGGGAACCACGAATCACGTCAGATAACGCAGGTCTACGGCTTCTACGACGAGTGCCTGCGGAAATACGGCAATGCAAATGTTTGGAAATATTTCACTGACCTCTTCGATTTCCTCCCTCTCACCGCTCTCATCGACAACCAGATCTTCTGTCTTCACGGAGGTCTCAGCCCTTCAATCGATACATTGGACAACATCAGATCTCTCGATCGTATGCAAGAGGTGCCGCATGAAGGTCCCATGTGTGATCTGCTCTGGAGTGACCCAGACGACAGGTGCGGCTGGGGAATCTCTCCTCGTGGGGCTGGATATACTTTTGGTCAGGATATCTCAGAGGCATTCAACCATAACAATGGCTTGACCCTCGTCGCGAGAGCACATCAATTGGTGATGGAAGGTTATAATTGGTCTCAGGACCGAAATGTAGTAACTATATTTTCTGGTGCGTCTATGCTTTCAACTTCCTTCCGGCCTTTGGCAAATGATGCTAACCCCGTCAATGTGATCAGCTCCAAATTACTGTTATAGGTGCGGAAACCAAGCAGCAATTATGGAGATAGATGAGAATCTCAAATATACTTTGTAGGTCACTCACGCCTTGCTTGACCCCTTTTCTTTTACTGACTTGGACATCTTAGCCTTCAATTCGATCCTTGTCCCCGTGCAGGAGAACCAATGGTGTCTCGTCGCACGCCGGACTACTTCCTGTAGATACGAGAAAAATGACCTGCAATACATTCAAAGCCTGTTGCATTCCAGTTTGTCTCACAGTGTCCCACCTCCTGAACTTCCCGCAATCTTCAATGAATTACTTCTACTTCCCGTTGTTGTCACCACATGACTGGATTGTATACGGCATTCCTAATATTCTATTTCCTCTTTTTTTTTTTCGTACTTATTTAAAGACACCCTCTTTCATTATCTGTTTCATCCATTGCCTCCTTTCGCTAGCGTATGCCGAAGGAGCGAAAGATTCCCGAGCTAGGTTGTAACGGATCCCCTCTTGAACATGGAAAGGATAGGACTAACTCGGGCGACTTGACGAAAGAGATGGCCTGCTGGAACATCATAAAAGGAGAGATAAAAAGAATTAGAATACCCGAACTTCCCACGAAAAAGAACTAGAATTGCAAATGAATATGATAAGTGTTTCGCCTCAATAGTACACCATAACCCGATATCATATAAGTGGTAGCTTTCTTTCGTGGAATTCCCCATAGGTTCGTCTCGGCAGGGTGCATCGCAGCCCTCCCGCAGTTAACTCTATCGTCTTCAACCAAACCAGGACAGGGACAGTAAATGTCCTGCCGATTCTCCGCTACTGGCGATTTTTCTTTCATCTAATCTTCATCCTCATCTTCGTCGTCTTTTCTCGCATCAACTTACTACCGCTTTGGGATTGCTGACAAAGCACACTCAGCTATGCAAACAGTCCAAACTATGCAAACACAAATGCAAACACAAACTATGCAAACACGCAGTCTCGAAAAATGATGCAAACATTACAAATTAAGGAAATACCTTTTAGCACCCTTAAGATACCAGATACAAACTGACCAAGCCCTCATATTTGTAAGTATACGAAGCGTACACGAGGACAGAAGCTGAAAAAGCAACACAGATTAAAAATCAATGTAAAAGATACATACAGGGTGGGTTTATCTAATGCAGCTGTTGAGAGGTGTATATAAACTGTGGTCAGCGCCGACTCGAGGGCAGGTCAAATAACACAATCCAGCATATTATCAAAACACCAATCTTTCAAACTCTCCATTTTATCAACTTCCATAAAGACGCATCGCAATGGCTACCTACTGTGGAAAAAATGCGGTCATCATCGGCGGGAGTCACGGTATTGGACTAGAAGTTGCTAAAACCCTCGTTTCCCAAGGCGCCAGGATGGTCGTCTCCGGACGGCGCGCAGAACCGGTTGAGGCTGCGGCAAGGGAGCTCGATGGTCTAGTTGCCGGAGCTGCTCTTGTTGTTCAGTCAGACATAACCTGTATGAAGAGCCATGGGGAACTCGAGGATCTCGTCAAACAGCACTTGCTGGTCGATGGTGACTCCTCCATCGACTTCCTCTTTATCAACGCTGCCTATGCCAATCTCGTTCCGTTCAAGTCTGTTACCGAAGAAGACTTCGACAAACACTTCAATACCAACACACGAGGGCCCTTCTTTATCGCCCAGCGGCTGATACCGTACATTCGACAGGGTGGGTCTATTGTGTTTACCACAAGCGTATCCATCGGCACCGGATATCCGGGTATGGCTGCATATTCCGCATCAAAGGCAGCGGTGTACTCGATTGTGCAGACGCTTGCTGCTGAATTGGCTAGTGGGGAGAGCGGCAAAGAGGGTATCAGGGTCAACGCAGTCAGCCCCGGCTTCGTCGACACGCCGACCATGGGAATTATTGGTGCAACGAAGGAGGATAAGGAGGCATTTGCGAAGATTGGCGCCCAGACATCGCCAATGGGTCGAATCGCAAAGCCCATAGAAATTGCCAAGGCCGCTTTGTTTTTGGGCTTCGATGCCACATATACCACTGGCATCGAGTTTGTGGCCGATGGAGGCTCCAGGTATTTGAGCACCCAGCTAGAAGGTCACTGACGTGACTACGTGGTCCTCAAAAGCTGGTGAATTTTTATACATTTCCCGGAGGAGTGAAGAGATAGATCAAAACAGGATGTATATATCAAATAGAAAAATTGCCTAGTAGGGTGTCATCAACCAGTCCTGTGTCACAAATAACCTAACAACCCATAGCTAAGAGCGAGAAAACCCACATTGATAGGGAAAATCGCTGTGGGCAGGTAGGAAAAGTTATAGGAATATAACGAGGTTTTCGTACATAGCTTCATGGTATGACAACTTGACTTTGGCCCTCTTCGTCGTTGTCCGATGTCTTGGGTTCTATCCGGTTATCAGAGTAGTTGCGTACTTTAGAACTCCCGTTGGGAACGAAAAATCTGCGATCGACTCGGCCAAAGAGGAATATGAAGACGACCATAGCTTCGAGGACAAAGTTGAAGACATAAAAACACGCCTTATGATGATACCACGCAGGATTGTTAGCGGCTCGGATAGGGGAGGCACTGACTCCGATACGAAATCCTGCACCAAGCGTCAAAAGGAGAGCTGCAGCGGTTACGATGATGACCTTTGCTGACCACGATCCAGACCCAAATTGATCACGTGGTTGCCTTTGAGGAGCCAGATGAATAAATGCAAGTATTGGTATCGGGAGGAAAGCAACGAAAGTCAGCAGACTGCCACCGAAAAGCTGTAAGTCATGATCTATCCGTCTAGTATTAGGATCCAGGGTGAAGAAGCTTTGCACAGTCGCTGTGATGACGGTAACCAATGTTAACCCGATAAGGATGTAGAGTATTTTAAAGGCGTATGATACTGGACGAGACCATCCCACGACGGGATGGCTAGCACGAAGCAGACGTTGCGCAAATATCAAATTGATCACAAACAGTATCAAGACCCCAGCGGCAACGAAGACTTGTGCAGCAATTGCGACATTGATGTTCATCGGCTTCGCGGCCCACACAATTCGAAGGGTATTGGCCACAATACGGGCTATGCAGAATCCCCCAGTTGCTGCAGATGGGATGAACTTGTAATTGCGCTTCAGGTTCTTTCGAAATAGGGTAAAATGCGAAACAGCTCCAGCGAGGAATATGGCAATGAAAACGGCAGAGACAGCAACGTCTACTGATAGTGTCGGGCGGCCACCAAGCCCAGCACCTGGTGGAGGATAAGGAGGCCCGTGTGCCTCTATACCAGGCTGTTTCAATAATGTTAATACCATCTGAGACCAGGGATATTCAATAGCAATGAGAGTTCACCATTCTTACCTTCCCAGGAGGGCCATGCGCCATGTCTGGAGAGCTGGACATCATAATAGTGCGTTGGATAAGACAGCTTCAACGATAGATACTCCGTACCTTTCCAGATTTCTGTTTTGAAGGTGTAACGAAAAAAGTCGACAGAACCAGGTCAATCACAAAAGGCCAGCTTGAGGGGATATCAGTCATTTAAGAAGAATCCCATCTTTCAGCGTCATGAAACGATGGGCCAGCCATAGTTATCATCTCGGAGGCCGGGCTCTTGCAGGCCCCAAGGGTCATGGTAATTGGTAACAAGGGGAAGATTTATACATATTTCTTTTGCCGGTCAAGCAAGATGACGGAGTGTGTCTTCGCTGTCGCGTTAATGTGATCGCCGAAGTTGCTAGCTATATTTCCTAGACCCAACAGCATTTTCAATACAAAACTCATCTGACATGGCGAGTGTCGGCAAGTCGGCCATAAAACCTGCCGACTTGCCGACTGTGAATTGTAGTGGAGACTTGACCAATAACATTAGCGCATTTGGTTCCTTGACACGAGGACGGCCACAAACATGTTTCCATCCCGCCGATGTGGACTTCTGGGTGACATTATAGTGGTCGGGAGGAAGTGTCGCCACAGTTAGTGCGATAGTTGGTGGACGTTCAAATCAGCATTGCTAAAGCTGGTAGCACAGTATGAGGCTGTGCCAAAATGTCGACTCGAGCTTTCCTCTGATGCAAACTTTGTCATGGGAAATTAATCTGAGATCCTGATGACGCCCACATGGGGATCATTTCTCAAACCCCATGCTATAGCCGCCGGTTTTCTCGTCCTTGACGAACTTGAAATTATCCGTAGACAGGCCAAATGGTTTTAGGATCCCATTTCCGAGCTATAAGCGACAGGCATTCCATCAGAGGAGGCCTTTGACAAAAGGAAAAAGCTGCATACGCAGATACTCTTTGAGGATGGGGGGTGCTTACATCTTTTAGTTTACCCATCATCTCGGCCATTTCTTTATCCTTTGCTGCGTTTATTTGAGCAGGCAATTCTCTTAGAGCAGTCTTGACCGCTCTAGTGTCTTGCGGAGGGAGAATCCCAAGCTCCAGCAGGCTCTTGTAGTCCTCTTCAGCACCCTGGAGATTCGCCCATCCGCCCAACTGCATTCTTGCCTTCCCTCTCCGCATAAGAGACTTGCCTCTTATACGTAGTACGTCCTCCCTATGCGTATCCTTTTCTTTCAACTTTCGAAGGGCCTCGTCCTCCTGCCCTTGGCTCGTATCGTCCGGTAGTTCGACAACCCTAGGGGTGGCATCCGCCGTCCTATTCGAACCCGTATCCGCATCCTTACTAGCTTGAGAGGTTGTAGTGAGGGCTATAGGAACCAAACGGTCCAGAGATGTTATGCTAGAGGTGGCTGCATCTACAGCCGATTCCCATTCTTCCAACTTTATATGGCATGCAGCAATATTGCACTTTAAGACAGCCACCTCATAATCGAGGTAGTTAGGACAAACGGCAAGGGCTCTATCGTATGTAGTAATAGCCTCTGAATAATTAGAAGCAGAAAACAGTGTGTTCGCATCGGCTTTGTAGCTATTTGACTGGCTTAACAGGTTCTGTTACAGTTAGCGATGGTCGACATCTGCAGGTTTTGTGGGCACCTACGGCTTCCTCGTCTGGGGGGAAACGAGCATCATGAAAGACGTCTTCGTCCCCATCGCTTTCACTGTGATTGTCATTTGGTGCGTCCGTCATGGCGTGCTCTGCGACTTGCTGGCCGCAATAGTTATTCCCTGTCTCAAATTGCAGTTGTCCTAGTTGACTTATTAGAAAGTCGAACTAAGGTTAAATAATTAGGTTAGTTAATTAGACGCGCTAGGCGCGCCGTCCAATCGTCATGTGTGACTGTATTTATTCACTTATCGATAAGCAACCTCCAGGAACAGCCTTGGCGGCGCGTACAACTAACTCCAAGGCTTTCATTCAAAATATGCTTCACGCAGCTCTCCGGACAGCTTGGCCATCGCCTGGCTAATTAATTAGCTACCCTCTCCACAGCTTGAACCGCACGATGTCTTTCCTTCGACGCATGGCATCCCAACCGCGGCGCACCATGTTCTCTATCAAAAAGTCTCCATGGGAGATACCGTCTAACCAAGGGCCTTCACTTCCCCAGCATGAACTTGTCGATGAAGAAATTTGCCCTGGATATAACCCAGCCTCCTTCTATCCAGCAAAGCCAGGAGAAGTGCTTATCAAGAAATTTCAGTTACTTAACAAAATTGGATGGGGATCACAATCAACCGTGTGGCTCGCCCGAAATATCTCCAGGTAATAATTACTTATCCTTCTGCACTCCTGCTATTGATTTTGTGCACAGTAACCATCAACAGCAATCAAGGAATAAATGGCAGCCTGAGCAATTTGTCGCCGTCAAGATAACGAATAATAACAACACTGAAGAGACACAGCATGAAAAGGAAATCGAATACCATATTGCACATCTAAATCCAGAACACCGAGGACACCTAATCCTACGAACATGCCTTGATGCTTTTGATTTAATTGGTCCTAAAGGAAAACACATGTGCCTTGTCTATGAACCGATGAGGGAACCTCTGTGGATTTTCCGGAAACGCTTTATCAGTCGCCAGATCCCTTTACCTATTGCAAAGACGTATATATTTTTCCTTCTTGTTGGCCTCGATTATCTTCACTCGGAGTGCAAGATCGTCCACACAGGTGACACATTGTTCCCTTTCTACCTTCGTATTACTTCAACTAATACCTTGCTAGACTTAAAACTTGACAATATTCTCATGAGCTTCGAGAGCGACGAAATTCTTACTAGCTTCGTAAAAAAGAAACTGCAGATGGGATGTAAGTTAGATGAAAAGAGTGGCCAAGCTATCTACTGATGCAATAACGACTTCGGCCCCCTTAACGGCAAAGAGTTTACGAACTTAATCCCCAAAATAACGGATTTTGGTCTCTCTACAAGACTAGACGGAACGAACAAGCTATCTTCTTATCCTATTCAGCCTGATTATTACCGTACTCCCGAAGTAATCCTTGGCTGTGGCTGGGATGAAAAGGCAGATATCTGGAACTTTGGTGTATTAGTAAGTCTATACCACTTCTTCTGAAAATTCATGTATTATATCTACTCTTCTTGGTTGCTCTTTATTGTTTCATAACCACTTCATAGCTCTTATTGCTAATATCTCTGTCTGATAAGTTGTGGAATATCCTGGGAGGAAAAGAGCTGTTCCAGCAGGTACATGCCCCAGACGGCCTGTACGATGCAAAATCACACCTTGCTGAAATGATCGCTCTACTTGGAGCTCCCCCCACGGCATTAATTGCGAGATCGAAAGCTGTCTCTGGGAATATTTGGCCTCAACATGTCACTAGCAAAACTGGTAAACTCTGCAATAATCCTCAAGAATTTTTTGGTGGTCCTTTCTTTGGCTCTGAAGGTAACCTAATATCAAACCTAACATACAAAATCTTGATATGCTAACTGTGTTTTCAGGCGAATTCTACCATAATGAGCTTGTACCGTCTCGAAAATTAGAGAGCACGGTACCGTTTCTAGAGGAGAGAGAGAGAGACGCGTTCTTGTCGTTTGCTAGCCAAATGCTCAGCTGGAACCCGGATCAAAGGAAGACAGCCCGCGAACTGATTGATCATCCATTCCTCAAATTGGGTGATTAATGTTTAAGAAACAGTGAATCGTACAGTAAGCCTGCTGTTCTCGGGCCACATGACGGACTTGAGGGTCTTGAAACACCACCTGCAGCCCTCTCGAGCCGGGCAAAGGTCGCTCCTCATCCGAAGTTGGTTAATATTGCTCAAGAAATCTCGAAGGATCCTAGATTGCTCAGCTATCGGTCCGGAGGAACGTGGGGATAAGCTTGAAAGCTCCATCCCACTCTAAATCATCTTTAAGACCTACAAGCCTGAAACGGGGTTTGATATGTAAGACATACAGCTAGTTGGTACATGACCTCAGGCCACTGGGAAAAATTTATGTCTATTGGTTCTCTACTTAAGTACTTGTGTTTTTATGTCAATGCTGGAACCGCTGAGACATGAGCCCTAGCTGTCATACTCCGTAGAGTTACGCCTTTCACATGGTAGCCCGTTCCACTGGTGTAAATAAGCCAGCTGAGTTGATCGCTGCTAAACCCCACGACTGTCGGCCCGGTAAGATAATTATGTCTTAATTAAATTCCTGGCGCAGTCTCTCCCAAATCTTTCACCCTGATGACTGCCAGGTGAGATGGCTGTGTGACCGCTGCATAATAATAGCTCACCCCCGCGGTTTATATATACAAGACCTCCACTCGATCCCTTATATAACAAACTCATGGACAGCTAAGGATCACGTTGGTTATAGATAGCCGAGGCTAAGCGTGGAGCGAGGTGGACTAGTTAAAGTTAATTAGTTGAACTAGTTAGCGTTCAGGGGAAGAAAACTGCAAAAGCAAAGGTTGATATCAAAAACTCCAAACACTTTTGAATCCTGCCAATTGGCGAGACCAGATCAGCAGACAACTTATAAAGGCCTGCTCTATCTGCCGCCATGTCTACCCAGAATGAGTGAGAGAAGATCACCCTGTTTCGCCAACTGACCAGTCACTCCTCTGAACCTCTATTGTGTGCTCCGAATCATGGCTGACTATCACTTGAACCGCAGACTCCCTCCCATTCGGGCATGTCTCTTTGACATGGATGGCCTTCTTATCGACTCTGAGGACATATATACATTCGTGATAAACCAGATTTTACATGAATATGGGAAACCCAATCTACCTTGGTCTATCAAGGCGCAGCTGCAGGGCCGTCCCCAGCCACAGGTACGGTTTCAATTCTTACACAATTATTCTGGGGAGCATTCACTATATGGCATAAACACTACAGGAAAGGAGTTTATTCTAATTTACTTTTCTTCCCTACCGTATACAGTCTGGTCAAGTGTTTCAAAAATGGGCCCAGCTACCCATTTCGCAGGAAGAGTTACAGAAGAAAATCGCTGCACTTCAACGGCCCCAGTTCCCAAAGACACAGCCGCTGCCTGGTGTTATGCAGCTGATTAGCAACCTATCCCGCGCCGCATCGAACTCTCCCCCTGTACACATTGCACTGGCTACATCCTCTACTACAACAAATTTCAAACTCAAAACCTCCCACCTCTCGGGTCTATTTTCCCAGTTTCCCCCATCCAGGATTATCGTGGGAGATGACCCCAGAATAGCCCCCGGGCGAGGGAAACCATTGCCTGATATATATCTACTGGCACTTAGCATTATCAACAAGGAAATTCAGGCAAAGGGCGAACGCCCAATCACCCCAGCAGAATGTCTCGTTTTCGAAGACTCTGTTCCTGGTGTAGAAGCTGGCCGGAGAGCTGGTATGAGAGTTGTCTGGTGTCCTTATGAAGGGCTGCTTGAAGTATACAAAAATCAGGTGCCAGAAGTCCTAGCTGGTCTGACGGGAGCACATAAGGACCCAGAGGATAACGGACATGATACCCCTGCTGCCTCCAATTCAGGCAAGCCGGGCAGCCTAAATGATGGCTGGGGAGAATTAGTACGCACTTTGGAAAATTTTCCGTACGAGAAATATGGGATCAAGGTTACTTGATATCCTATTCCCCTCGTTTATTTCAACTTCTTACGACGACATGACCCCAAGCCCTTGCTTGCTAACTTGGTCAATGAACCGGTAAATCCGTCCAAATAAAAGGAATAGGCTTCTTCAAAATTTATCATATCTATAGACCCGATCTAAAAACAATGCATCCATCATATTACGTAGAGTCTTGCCTTGTCTGTCTATACGGATTAGATGCAAAGTGTGACACGTAGTAATAGATCAATAGTTGGCTGGGTTTAAATGTATTGCAATTCCTGGAGATCTATTATCTAGAATAACGCTCTTGGAAAAAAATAAATAACAAAATTGAAGGTGCGGTGTTCAGTCAGGCAAAGAAACATAATGATATCTGGTGAAATTTTTTTTCTCTTTCCTTTTTCTAGGGGCAGTAGCAACTTGATATATGCAATGTACGGCAGGGGACTGAAAAGGCCCAAAATCAAAGGAGCCCCCTCAGGGTTATAGTTGGTGAATTGATAAAAGCACCCAAGATTTTATTTCTTGAAATATTGATAGAAGTTGAAATTGATGCTAAAAGAAAAAAGGGAGAAGAATGTCGGTCAAATTTCTCCAACTTGTCAGAATCGACAATCCCACAAGCTGTTTTGAGTCATGCGTTGTCCATATACCTAGCCAAGTACAGACGAGATGTTTGATGGAAGATGCGTGAAAGGATATTCTCTGAAAGCCCTAGACGTTAAAATGACCTAGTGTGCTTGAAAGAAATAAATCTATAAGACTTGAAATGGTGGTATTCCGTAGAAAAAGAGACGCCCATTGAACCCGGCCTACCCTCTGAGGCGACTATCATTGTCATGATCTAAAACCAAAGGCTTGGAAATGTTGTAAGGAATACGACAATGGCCCGTAGAGTAGAGCTATGTGCGAGGATATCAAATTGAGGAATTCTAGTAAGGACGCGTATAAATGCTATGACGAGAAAGCATTGTACCGCCCTTGGCGATAGCAGAACAACACTTCATGCTTATTTGTTGAGATTTTTCAATAGCGCATCTTCTTCAAGGGGCTTTCAGGATGGTCGGAGGTGTCAGCAGATCTTTTCCGAGAGGGCCTGCGGGGCTTCGGTTGACATGCATGAGTAAATTCGCCAGAAATAGACGGAGATGGAAACTGAGGCATTGCAGATGGCATGCTTGGGGTTCTTGGAGGATATTGTGAAGATTGATCGACATTAGGATATGTCTGATCCCAAGGCGACCTTGGAGGAGAAAGGATATTAGAATCCATTGGGCTAGCCATGGTATTCATGTTGGACTGAGGTATGTTGCCAACTACTCCACTTTCAGGAGTACACATTTGATCTTGGCGGAAGCCGACGGATGATTTAGCCTCAAAGTTCCCAACGGGGTATGTGTGGTACGCTGGTTGTGACCCGGATGCAAATTGCTGAGTAACCTGTGGCTGTAAACGCACCATAGGACTGGCTTGAGGGCTCGGTTGATGAAAAGCAGAAGAGGGTTGGCTCAGATGCTGCTGAACTGTTGGAGGGATTTGTTGGTTCACATATGCTAGGTTAGATGAACTGCTGCTAGCCAAGACTTCTTGTTTCGGGGTAGAGAAAGGACTCGCAAGGGGACGTCGAGCTTCATCCTCAGCAGCTCCGTCATCCTCAGCAGCTCCGTCATCCTCAGCAGCTCTCTTGGCTATGACCTTCTTGCCGGCATCTATAGTCTGCTTTTTCTTCGCATTTAGGGTCTTATTGGAGTCAACACGCTGTTTATATATCCGTCAGCTAAATCCGTTCAGTCCGGGACGGAGTAGGTATAGGAAACTCTCACGCTTAAACACGAGTTCGGGTCGTCCACGAATTGGAGTAGATAGTAAGGGTCTAGCAAATGGCGGCAGACTGTCTTGCGGGTCTAACAGAGTAGGTTAGTTAGCTTGGATCGTTATAGAGCAAGGAAAAGGTATCTAACCCTCAAAATGCGAAGCATATCGCCAAAACGCTCCGCGAAGTTCTGCTTATTCTTTCTAGTTTTGTTTTTCAAAGCTTCTTCCTCTGGTGTAAGGAAAGGCCCAGCTTCTTGTCGCACAATACAGCAATCCTAATGGAAGTCAGTTCAAGGTTATATTTTGACAAAATATAAGATGAACATACTAATATGTTCCAACTGCATATTTCAATCTTTCTGTCACTAAATTTTTTAGTTGCAAAGGGCTTAATCATTCCCCAATTGTCTGTAGCGCATTCAAAACTTCTCATAGCCTTTATGAGTTTGATAACGCACTCCTGCCGCTCATAGGTAGTTCGTGGAATGGTGGGATCAAATGGCATAGGCCGCCTATCTGGGCGATAGTCATTGGCTTCTTTTGAGGAGGAAAACTGCAGGGTGACTGTATCACTGGGGTCTTTATAATTCTGCCTTTCGTCCTTGATCTCAACTGTACCATCATTGCGGCTTGGATCATTCTGGAGACTCCATGTCATAAGCGCTGGTCGGGTTATGGCAGAGTTTCCAGGAGCCTGGCCAGAAGGGGGCGATGAGCTGTACGCATTGGAAGTAGAATAGCCGGTGGCCGCTTGCAAACCTTGAGTTACCCCAGTATTCATATTATTCTGATTTGGGCACGGCTGTGAAGGCTCAACTTGTGGGCCGGCAGTATAGGCTGCAAATGCTTCGTAAAAAGCCCGGTCTTCTGCATTCTCAATGTCCAAATCTGCATTGCAATCATGAGGTGATTGCTTTAGCTCTCGACTTCCACCTGTAGTAGCTGACTGTGGTGTCCGGAGCTGCTGGCTCGACTGAACTGGATTAGTATTATAGGTCACTTCAGAAGATGAAGCCTGGGCGTTCTCAAAATGATGTGTCTGAGGGTTCTTTGGAGCTAGGTCCGCGTCACACATCCTGTCTGGCGAGCCAGCCAGGTTGAATAAATCATCGAATTCGAAGGGGTTACTGTCTGTAGTTTGGTGCTCCTGGTGCTCCTGTTCCTGTTCAACAATTTCTATAAAGCCAATTGTCAGGTGAGAATAAGTCAAATTCTATAATAGTAGTCTACCATATATGACGTATATCTTGATTCCAGGGGAACACACCTTGACCGCCTTCAATATCTACAGCATTAGTTTGACTCTCTGCTTTGAGTTCTGGTTCTGTAGATTTCTGGCCATGGACGATACCCCCGTGGTCATGCGAAGGGCCGGACTGGTCAATATCGTACCTACTAAGGGATAAGCACTCACTGACGGTTATTTAGAGTAATCATATAGCTCGGAATAACCTACGCATAGTTATGCAGCGCAATCAGACCTGCTACGTCGTCATTTGCGAATATTGACGTGTCCTCTCCGCGGAAAACATTGGAATGATTCATTTTGGCTGTCAGAAAACACGCTCATCAGCATGTATCCTCGAACATGAAATGGAAAATAGTCGCTGATGGCAGTTGAATTGAATACGGGCTATAAGTCCACGGTATTCAGGGGGACAGGTCTAAGAGATCACCTGAACTTTCCGAGGAGATGGAATAACTAGCTTGGAGAAGGCCTTTCTTCTCGACCGTAAGAGTTAGTGAGTTATTGGGATGTCAGTGAACCCGCTAGCCGACAAAATATTTCGAGCCGTTTGTCGTAGACGGTGGGTGCAGGTATCGAAGCGTGCAGACAGGTAGTTTGAGTGAGTAGTCCTGATGAGAGATAGAGAAGTCAAGCAGTGGATAGCATCCGGGCTGTGGAAGCGGCAACGTTGGTACGATGAGGAGTGGTGAAGAAGAAGAATAATTTGGAGCTGGAAGAAGTTTGAAGATGAAGATATAGACGTGGTCGAGGGGTCTTCATTGTCTAGTTGACCATTCACTGTCTGAGCGGGCAGCCACTCCCGGATTTCCGTCAGTCGTGAATGTAGACCTCACATCACCGCCGTAGACTATGGGAATTCGTACATCAAACCCGCCTACCTACGCATGCGTAAGTTCCCGAGGGTGAGTTATCAGATCCTCAGCTCAATGAATCAATAATAGATCAATAGCCGGGTACCGGGAGATCCCTTCGAGTACCCAAATCTCAATAAACATCTCGGCCAGCTGACATCCATTGACAGCTATTGTGCAAAGGGCCTAGGTCAGAGCTGCACTAAAGCAACAAAGAGGTTCGACCGCCCCCATCTTCGAGCAGTTCTCACTTGCAGCGGTTCGTGCGTCGACATTTGACTAGCTAATACCAAAAGGGATAGAATGATTGCGTGCTTTGAGCAATAGGGTAGCTGCCTGTGCTGCTTTTCGTTGAATAAGCTCGTCTCCAAGTCGGTGTCATTCCCAGATCAGGGCTTCATGCGCATGGCGCAAGGCAGATCATTAAGTTTTGTTAGCGAGCACGGTACACTCTGAGACCTGATAGAGTATATCTCGAAATGCCGGCAGCGGGTAGACAACCCAACAAGAGCTGAGGCTTTCCAAGGGTATCTTCCGGGGTTAATCGAGTGAATCATGCTGTCTGCTTCTGCTTCTGATATCTATCGCTAGCGAGAGCTCAAATCGGCAGCTTTTACTCTCTAGCTAGTGTCGCTTTTTCTGCGATATGCATTTGATGCTTCGGTTGTTTATGATAAACGAGGGAGGTTAATTTAAACTCTTTAACTTTCTCGTCCACATCCGGATTAGGCGACAGATCTCGCCGCTTTTCCTTCTCGCTAACTCACGTCAGAATAGTACAATAGACAGTACTATCGAGTGTAGACTAGTATATCTGGAATTCCGCCATTAGAAATTCATCAAGAAGGGCGTGAAAAAGAAAGACTACTGAAAGCTGACGTTGGTTTAAAAGTAGCCGGTTAACCAGTTGCCTCAGATTACTAAGGGCATTGCAAGGTACCGTAACTAGTTTAACAGACATAAATAACTAATTGTCATAAAGTTAGTTACAACTAACAAGTTAACCCTTCGTTACCCCTTAATTTTATGTAGCTTAGGAACTCTATTCGGGATCTGGGAATTTGGTGAGATCTAGAAGGCCCGGGTAAGAGAATATAGCAGGATTCCATGCCCATGCCCATGCCCATGCCCATGCATATAACTATATAACTTTTATGCACAGTTTACGTGGTTAAGCGAACTTGCATTAATTTTTCTTTTCCCGCTTGTCTCCTCCTTGTGGAGTGCGGCCGAAAGGCTAACGAGTTAGTTAGTTCGTTAACTATTTATTGGCGCGTTGGTTGGACCGCTCTACTTAAACTAGTTAACTGACTTCAATGTTGGTCAGCGGGAATATAAAATACCCAACTCCAGTCCATTCATGCCTGCCTACGGTACTCCGTACGTCATTTCACCACAACTTGTGGCATATGGGCTCATGCCACGCGAGTACTTCCTCCAGCCAGACGGTAATGAGCCGATCAAGTCATGAGCTTCAGACGTTGACCTTGAGGTCCTAGAAGTTCTTCACCGTATCCCAGGCTAGGATCCGGCGATCGAAGGGTTAATCCACATCATACCCAAAGGAGCAACGGTCTATTAGCTCCCTTCTGCGGAGGAACTTATGCGATGAGTGGACGTCGAAAGCCAGCCGAGTAGTTTAGGTTGGAGATATATCACATACCACTATTCCCTCCTCTATAAGTGGGGAAACACTCACTATCGAAGATACTGTAAAACTGGCGGCTTGCTTCTAGCTTGCGTGTTGTAGTAGATAGTTAGGCGGCGCATCCCTTAGAGCTCATATCTATAACTTGCTCTGGTATCAGTGGGCCAGCTATGTATATAAGACGCCCTGCTTCAATTCAGAGAGCCTTGGTGCTGCGAATATAGCGGCCATAAAAAAGGATCCTGGGAAGGTCAAAGTCTGCCTTCCAAAGTGGATATTCCGGCATGACCCCGAGGCATATTCGCATGAGAAGTACAGACAACCGTTTAAAGAAGAAATGAAAGTTCTCAGCAGTAAGCCAACTGCTCTATAAAGCAACGCTATAGTTACTCGTTTCTAATTGCTTCGGTTTTCTGTCCAGCTTTTTAACCGCCATTTGTGGTTTTGTTTCGGTATCTAGCCCGCTCTGCACTTTGTTGATGCTCTTCCACTCTAGCGTGGCGGCACCAAACAGCGATATACACGAAACAATAAGCCCAACCTGGAATACGCTTCGCAGTGCTTCGTTGTAAGAGACGCGGACTATATCATACTGATCCATAGGTATTGCATAAGTAGTCCCTTGAATAGCGTACTGCTAGCATATGCTTGGCCTCCCCACTGAAGTGCCAGCTCAAGGGAGACCACTCCAAGCACCAGCAGAGTAGTTCCTAGGAAATCAAGCTGTACCAGCTTCTCAACTACGGGCACGCTTGCTGTAACTCGCCAGGGAAGTTTGAGGCTGAAGGCAATGCCAAAAAGGTCACCACAATGCTGGCTAGTCAACTTTGGTACATCAGCCCTTGGAGATTCTGTGCTCTCTAGGGAGAAAGCGCGTGAGGAAGCCATTGTCTTGATGCTTCTGCGAGAGGGGCGATTGTTCAGATTGAGATCGGTAAACAGAAGCAGTCAAGTAAGTGCCCATATTCTTAGACTGTTGTCCACTTGACGTGCAGTTCGGTCCACAAACGCTAATTCACTAGTGTTGTCTTCGGAGAGAGAGGGATACTGTTTTTGTCCCGAGCACGTAGCCAGGACTCCCCCCGCTGGGTGGACAATTGTACTCCCTACAGGGTCTACATCCATGTATAAGTTAGCGGAGGAGACGAATACAGTTGGCTAATTATCAGGGAGAGAGGACTAGACTTACCATGATGGACCTTCTCCTTCCATGTTGGGCATAAGCCTCCTTCAGCATGGCACGGCTGCTTCCACATCCGCGCGACACCATCGGTTCCACCAGCCCAGAGCTCCGAGGACCCATTGATGTCGATAAATCCAGCGTCTAATCTTTGGTTTGTATCTGCTCGTCTGCCTTCAAGCCATCCCACGAGTTGTCCTGTTACCCTAACATCATATACCAACGCCCCGTCGCTCTTCCTCTCCAGGACGTATAAATATCGGCCGCAAGGGCTCCAGAGCACCTGTGTCACACCATTGCCACCGATTATCTTGTCAGCAGCAGTATCTGCAATGCTAAAGGTCGCTATAGTGTCACCAACTCCATTATCTCCGTAGAGGCCGATATGTCTGGTAAATGTGCCCGCAGCAAGAATTCCACTGCCGCTATTGTCAATTGACATTGTTGAAATTATCCCTTTCATACCCACGCCTCCTCCTACTAGCTTCCTTCGCTTACTAGGGATCGTGAGCAACCTAGAAACCGGCCCTTCCTTTCCCGGACGTGATATATCAAACAGACAAATCATACTGTCACATCCAGCTAAGAAATGCGTGCCGCCAAGGCTAGAGGGGTATAGCAGAGAGTGGGGAGTTATAAAGGCCTCCGTTGTCGGTGATATGAGGCTATAGGACCCAAGGAGTCCAGGGTACAAGGCGGAATTCAGTCGGATGGGGTGGTCCCTAAGGCCAGAAAGCAAGCAAGCCGTTGAAGGATCTTGGAGCTCATAGAACGGGTATAATGCCACTGAATAGATAGGTTCCTTGGAGGGAATAGTGTGATACGGCTGAAGGAGATGGGGTTTATCCCGGTCTTCCAGAAGATCCGGAGGCCTTCTCATAACTTAGCAATACTAAACCAGGAGACGCTACTCTAGTGACACAAGGAAACATACAAAATAAATGATCGTAAATGATTATCAGCCGAATTGGTGATGATCGTAGTTCCATCTGGGGACCTGAAGCAGTGAGCATTTTGTTTCTTTAATAATTCCACGGATAAGAATACCTCCTTACCACTGGGCATTTTTAAAGTAATTAGACGCCAACCAGTCACGAGGGCCATGCTCTACAGGCCTCTCTGTATCTGCGAGCTCATCACTGCTGGCCCAGCAGGCCACACATTTTATCCCTGGTCCATCATCGATTGAAGATTGCTGCATGGCTCACTCCATAGAGTACTTCCTTGCGTCATATATCGTGCCGCTCAACATGCCACCGGGGAGAAGCCGTGCGTACTATGAGATATAACTGTAACTGGAGCTGTAGCTGTAGATGTGGTTGTGGTTGTAGATGTGGTGTGGAAGCTGAGTTGACGTTGGAAGAAGCGATCGATGTTGCCAAGACATCTGCCGCCAAGACATCGCGAAAGCTCCGAAAAAGCAAAAGAAAAACAGCTTAAAAAAACATCAAAAAAAAACCATCTCGACCAAAAGGATCAACTTTGCATATTATTTACCAGAAGAGAAAAGAGAAAGGAAGGGATAGGCCAGTACTCAGCGACAGCATATTCTCCTTCCTCTCGCCGCCCTCCCGCGCACCAATTTATGCGATAACCGGCCCTCTCCTGGGCAGAAAACCGAACTCCCCTGCCCTGACACCATGTTCTCCCAGAAGCCTGCCACGACCGGCGGCTTGACAGTGAATACCTCCACTGCAAACTCTCTATTGTAAGTCAACCTGGGCTGGGCTGCTAGCTGCTTGCCAGTTTATGTATGCATTTTACTTTATCGTTGATGAAGGACTGCTCGGAGAATCGTTGTTTACTCCAACTACCCGTCCACATCATACCAACGGCGTAGCGCCTACGCAAAGAATAGGACTAGATCTGTTCATAAAGCGAAGAAAAGATACTTATCATATTTGGCTTGCCTATAGTGGCGGAACACCCCAAACGGCAACGACGTCAACATCGGCCGGCGGGCTCTTCGGAGGCACCCTAGGAGCCGCAGCAACATCACAGCCGCAGTCAGGAAACTTATTCTCAGGGCTAGGGGCTACCGGAAGCCAGACGCCACAGAAGAGCCTGTTTGGTGCCGTTGGGAGCAGTGCGGCTAACACAGCTTCAACACCAGCAACATCCCAACCAGCGTCCGGAGGCTTGTTTGGAGCATTGGGAACATCGCAGCCCCAGCAGCAGAACACGCTCGGCAGCGGCTCACTCTTCGGCAGGACGACAACATCTGGCGCCCAGACACAGCAAACTACAGCAACAACTAGCGCGCCATCGTTGTTTTCCTTGGGTGCTTCAAACGCTAACCAGGCACAGGCAAAGCCATCTTTGTTTGGAGGCGGTACACAGACTACGGGAACATCAGCAAATACAGGGGGACTATTGTAAGTTCCATTGCATCCTCCCTTTCCTTTCCTTTCCTTTCCTTTTTTTTTTTTCTCCCCTCACACTACCCAATCCATGTGCCCCGGGTTAACATATTTCTCACCCATTCAGTGGAAACACTGTCCAGCAACCGCCTCAACAGCAGCAGCAGCAGGGCCCAACCTTGTCTCTATTCCGGAATACAACTGGGCCATTAAAACAGGACCAACCAGCCGGAACTAATGTTGTATCGGGCGTTAAAATTGACGTGTCCAATCTCGTACCTACGACTAAATTCGAAAACTGCAGTGACGAACTAAAGAAAGAAATCGAAGCCATAGATACCTTCATTCTTAACCAGATTCGGATGTGTAACGAGGTATCGGACCTGCTGCCCACTATATCTGCGCAGGGGGCGATGATCCCCAACGACGTTGAATTTGTACAAGGGAAACTAGACACACTTCAGGAGGCCCTCGAAAATGACGCTAACGGCATCGAACATGCCCGTAACCTTGCAAAGCAAGATGCGACGGAAGCAAGACTGGCCTTCCGCACTCTAGATACGCTACTTTTACCCCTGCAATACCAACCCAGCCCCGGTGAACGATGGTGGCCAGCTGGCCAACAAGGTCAAGCAATGTCCAAACATCCGCTACGGCCCACCATTGGGCTTCGTCACGGCGGGACCCTTGCACTGCCGGAGGGGATCGAGGCGGATTCTACTAATTCTTCGCAAAATGAACCCGGAAGCCTCGTTGATTATTTCTCTCAGCGGACGGACGACATGGGCTCTGTACTCGAGGAATATCGGAAGAACCTAAAAGAAATAGAAGACCACCTATACAATGTTGAAGATTCCCTTCAGCGGAAGATCCACGCACTTGTTTCCTCGCGGGGCAGAGATAGCGGAAGCACCGCGAGTACACAATCGTCCCGTGTGCGGGAACTTGCAGCAACGCTGGGAGATGTTGAGAGTGCTATCCTAGGTGTCGCTAGCAGAGTTGGCACTGCTAAAGAAGAGGTCCAGGAATTAGTTTTGGGTCCAATGGGAGTTAATGGTACTGGGATAGGGAATGGATGGCAATCCAGGGCGTACTAATGACTTTTTATATCTCAATGCTATGTTATTCTCTTTTCGACCCCGTCTTTCTCCCTTCCCCGTTTCTACCTTATATCGTGTCAACATTAACCACTTCCTGAATTTTGCTATCTTCTGCCGACGCAAATCGGCTACACAGATAGACCGGGATCATTCAGTGCTCTTTTAGCTTCTTCCATCTAGCTTGGAGCTTTGGACTGCTAAACGCCGTCCAGCCGTTCACCGTACTTTACATTGTGTATACCAGTCTGTATTTTAACTCTCCACCTTTTCTCCAGGGTATACCCGACCTAAAATTCCTTAGAAAAGATGCACATCTAATACTGTGTGTCCAGAGTCTCTTAGCTATACTACACATCCTCGTCCGGTTCATGCTCCCTAGCATTGTCGTCAGCGTGTCAGTGGCCGAGTTGAGTTATGCCGTTTGTGTTGCTTGTCCCAATTTGACTTACGTTGTTTACCGACTGACTATTAAGCAAGATCATCTGCAACTTCCATACTCGCTATGACAACAACAGCTTTCACCAGCAAAACACAACCGAAGAGTCCGACAGAGGAACCAACACCAAGTATCTATCGGCGTTTTAAACCTCATGGCGTCAGGCTCAGAGGAACCCTCGTTGCTCGAGTATGCCCGTTATCACGGAATCGCGCTGGAGCAAGAGATATTTAGTCACAATATGGCCCTTGATGGACTTATTCCACCCAATTCCTGGGAAATGGGCGATAGTGACGACATAAAGGGGGTCATGGATTTTATGCAGGCTATCGATCCTGCAAAGATTTCTGCAACTAGAGCCAGCACTGAATTGTTATCCTACGTCCTTAGGCTACATAAGGAATACACGAACACTAGTCCTGGGGCTCTTTCGCATCGCCTTTTACCAGACTGGTACAAAGTTGAACAGCTGAAGATATCTCCACCTATCCCTGAACAAGACGCTTCACATGGTACCATATCTGCAGTAACGCTCTTGAAGCTTGATCCATCGAACCTGCAAGCACCGTCAGAGAAGCTCAATGTTGAATCTGATGAAGGGCTAGAATTTCCAACTCTCTACACAAATCTGAGGGACAAGATTCTAGAGGAAGTTGCAAGTGAAAAGCTCGTGTGTCATCCTACAACAGCTTCACTCATACTGGAAACTCTTAACCATGGAAAAGTGCGCAAGTTGGAATATCAGAAACCAACCTACCATCACCAGCCGAATGATGTTCGTTCCCATCCATTACCAGACCGTATGCCAGACTATTTTTTTTTTTTTTTTTAACTAACGCGACCTGGGCTTAATAGAAACTAGAAAAGTTCGAGCTGTGTCCACGGATAGAGAAGAGTAAAGAGACCAACCGTAGTAGCGTTGTTGAAAATGCCACAACTACCGGCCAGCAACTTTCGCCAGCTGTAACGCGAGGGCCTCTCCTGCCGGGTCTATTCTCAGCCTCTGACAGCGTTTCCAGCTTCATGGAAGCTCATGGGAAAAGGCCGCCCTTGAATGACAGTAGCATGTCCAATTGCCACAATACCAAGGCAGACCAACAATTGCCAAATGATGAGTTTCTGGTTCCGCGAGAAGCTTCACCCGAGGCAGGTTTATATACCGTTCCCCTTGACGAACTGCCCACTCCTAGTAGCTCCCAAAAGCCAATAGTACTCTTTATGTCTGCAGACCTCCTAAGAACTCACGGGCCGCTCGTCCACAAACTGGAAACTCTCACAAACCCACCTACCCTGATTTTTCAAGACCGCTCTACACTCCATTCATATAATATGGGTGAAGGATTATGTTTGCGAGATGCAGATATAACACTTTCCCCCACGGTAGGGATGCTTTTGGCGACTACCATAGATTTCATGCAGTTACATCTGCCGGGTCACTCTATTCAACTCGAATCTGATATAAAATTAAACTCGCCTTTCCAGGAGAGAATATATCGAACTTGCAAGAAGTATGACGAACTTTATATCTTTACTCTCCACCATGCGGATCCATCAACTGTCAAGCCCCTGGTCTCAGTAAAGCAAAATATGTTCAATGCAATGGCCACAATTAGCGCATTCTGCAACTCAATGAATATATATTCAAAAGTAAGAGTGCTTAATGTCTCTTCGGACGTCACAAATCTCGCTCACTGGATTATCGATCTCGGACAACGTCATCAAAACTTGGTATTACAAGATGATACTGAACGCATCATTAGCGGACTTAACGGCTTACCTCCAAAGCGTCACTCTGGTGCCTCTGGTCTTGAGCCTATATCCAGCACCTTCGACGAACAGTTTCTTACACAATGCTTAGCATTGAACTGTTTTGCTGCTGCCTTCGTTGTTCATATTCTGCTTCCTTCACTGGAGCAAGCCCAAGAAACAGACCAGGGATTGTTGCTTACGGCGGTCTTCCCGGGCGAGGAGTCTACTCCATTCCCAGTGAGCAAACGGCTCTCCGTCGGTCTAGGTCGTCTTATTGATGGTAAGCTAGAAGATAAGGCTTACGTTGCATCCTTGCTTGGAGAACGAGCTTTCTCGCGAGTAAGGGATCGCAGACGCCGTATACTTCTCAGCCCATTTGTACCAAAGCTAGTTAGATAACATCCAGGTTTGGACCGGTCTGCTTGATTACCCAACATCAATAGAGGCTAGAAAGTAGTATCTATATCCATACTCTCTTGCTGTTGGGACATGTTACGGATAAAAATTAGTTAATCAGACACAGTTATGGAGATGGAACAAAGACGATAGCTCGAATCAATGTTGAGGGGAGATATCCTAGTATGCATGCATTCTCTTCCGGTTCTCGAACCCGCAGGCGATAGGTAGCAGAATGCCACATCGGGATCCGAAAATGAGCCATCTGCTTGTACATAAAATAGATAGCGTAAGGCTTTTATACCCTAGCTTCATTCTTCAAGTACGTTTGCTCCATGATTCAGATCTCTTCATGTGGATAAAAATAAAATAAAAAAAAGAAATGGACAAGGGCAACAAACACCAAGAAACAGGAACAAATGAAAAGAAACTCCTTTCGCTGGCTCTCTTCTGCCATCTTCAGTTGGCTAGGATGACCGACTCCGTAAGTTCGATAGATGTTGCATTCGTTATATTACATATTATTGTACAGAATCGGTCCGAACAACCATTCAGTGGGTAACTATGTGTAGCCGATTTCGTGTGTCGATTTGGTTCAAAGTCTAGTGGACGGGGTATATTCACTCTCTGAACTTGGCCAACAGCCTATGGAATGATGGGTTAGTTTCATCACGAGATGTGTAACGGTGGAAGAATCGTATCAACATACTCATGGTCTCGGAACAAGGAGTATTCTTCTTCTCCAAGCTTTACGGGGCTTCCTCCAAACTAATCAACAGCAATGATGGTCAGCACTTGTCACGCAGACTTCCAGAAATGAAGGCTCAACTTCATTGAGCTCATTTAACACAGTATTGACGCACCTGGGGAACCAAAACCCGGTCACCTGGAGCAACGCTCATGGCAATTCGCTTGCCGTCCTTGTCCAGAGCTCCAGGTCCAACGGCAAGGACCTTGGCCTCATTGAGCTCCTTGACAGAGCTTTCCGGGAGGAAGATTCCAGAGGCAGTCTTCGCTTCGGATTTAATACGCTGGACCAAGACACGGTCGAGGAGAGGAGCGAGGTTCTTTACGCTGCGGAAAGCCTGGATATACACCGAATTGAAGCTTGATTAGAAAGCTAGCCCAATAATGCGGAGACGGAACAGCGGACTCACCATTGCTGATGTCTATAGGAGAGGCAGAGAAATTTATAAGGCAACGTTTGAAAGAAAAGGATAGGTAGCGAATTGAATGGATTGAATGCCTATAACTTGTAATCGCACCAAAGTTGAACTGGAGAAGAGAAGAAGTTTTTGTTTTCACCTTCGCGATTAAGAAAAAAAAAACCCCAAGAAATTTCCAGAAAATATGCCAAGACACCATAGTTATCGAAAACGGTTTAGCGCTCTCCAGGCCGAGAAAGGAAACATGTTTATATCAGAGACGGGGGAGACAGCCACGGAGCAATACTCCTAGAATTATTCCATATCTCATAGCTGGTGGTGTACAGGGCTGGGTAATTTCCGCATATTTGATAGACTATTCTATTTTATCTCGATCTACCATCTTCGCATGCCCTTCCCCCTTGCACCAGGATTGCTGTACGCTCCATGTTGGTCATAACTCCCGTATCCCATCTGTTCCTGTCCGGCAGCTTGTCCAGAAAAAGCTTGTCCCCCAGCTTGGCCTCCATATCCGGTTTGAGGCACCTGAGGGTTACCAGCGCCAGGCTGGCCACCTCCCATCATAGCCTGTGCATGTTGCATGAAAGTCATTGGGTCCATCGATGAAGGGTCCATGCCTTGGGCCATCATACCGGCAAACACAGCCTGCATCATGTCTGGGGAGAGATCTGGCATCCCAGAAGGCATCCCCGGCATAGCATTCTGTGGTCCTGGCCCAGCTCCTCCTTGAGGAGGGCCAGGAGTACCTCTACCTCCTGTTCCTCCACCCCCTCCGCTCCCTCCCCCGCCGGCCACTGCTCCAGGTATCAGTCCAGGAAGAGGCGGTGCCGGCCCGCCTGGTACCGGCATTCCCGGCAGGCCTCCAGGAAGACTGAGGAATGCCTGCATATCCTCCATCTGCGACTTTTGGTCGTTAATGTCTTTTCTCAGGCTTTGCTGCTTGAGGCAGTAGCTTGCCCATGTGAACTCGTCAAACCCATAATTGAAATAATCATTGATATCTGAGCCAGGTCTCCGCCAAGGCTTATCGTCTTCCGTAGGAAAATCTGAATCTAAATCCGTAGAAAGAATCGGTTTGTTGGTTGAAGGGTGGACAGGGTTAGCCGATACATCGATCGTCGACGTGTGGTGAGCCGGATATGAGGACCCTGGCTTTTGAGGAGCTGCAGATTTCGTGGTGGCAGCTGGAGTTACAGTTGGTGTCCCAGGCTTTGGAGTGGGATGCAATGCTGCACCTTTGGGGGTTGCGCTGGCAGGATCAGTAGCGGGTTTTTGGGGTTCGTTTCGGTGCGCGGGATGGCGAGAGGTTTGTCTATTATGATTTAGCAACCGCATGGGTCTTATCAAGATGCGTTTTCCTCTTGGGTAAAGTCTTACGTAGTAAGCTCTGCAGCTACCTCTGGGGGAGCTTCAGTGATGATTTTGAAATCGTCCTACACATAGGTTAGCCAATTGAACGGGCGTCGGCAGTAGAACAGTCTATTAGCGCATACTTCATCGTCTTCTTCTTCTTCTTCTTCTTCCTCCTCCTCCACCTGTTCGTGCCCTTGCCCTTCTGTCATGCCTGCGTCTCCACTCTGCTGCTCTGTGTTCTGAGCTGCAGAGCCAGAAGGCGCTACATCAGTCGGATCGTAAAGATCATCATCATCTTCCTCCATGGCTGGCGTTCTGACCGAGTAATCACCACAACAAGGTCAATATTTTCTTGAACCCTCTGCTTCAATATGCTAAGGTATATCCTGCGCCAACTGGCATAAACCGTACGCTTTCGTGGTGGATATCGCGTGAACAAAAAATACGCCTTGATCCAAGTCAAAATATCGAGCTCCGCGGCAACACTATCTCGTTTTACGCACTGCTGCGCTGGGGCTTAAGGTCGACTCGTATGCGCTTCGGTAATCGAGAATGGGCATATCCTATAACTCTTGCAGCCGTTGAAGGTTTTGGTCTCTTTCGGAAGAGCTCGAGGAAGCTTGTCAGGGTCACGTGCTTGACGAAGTCAAAAGTTACTGAGATAGTTGACTCACGTGACGACTAACCCTGGCTGGCTTAAAGTGGACCCACTAGGTATTTTATATTCGGTAGGTAGATTGCATTACATAAGGCTGAGAGCTCGCGACCACAAGAAAGCCGAGATGGTTTTGAGATACCTCTGTTAAAGGATTCTTCAGCCAGTATTATAATTGACTGCCAAGCGAGTTGGGTACTAGGAAAGAAAAGAGACACTCGTTTTGTCTGTTTTTGTTTCGCACCAGCGTGATGTCTGCACCCTCTGAACCGCCTAGCAGGACCTCAACGCCCCGGTCTTTCACGAACCAGTCGACCACCGCAGAAGACCTCTTTAAGTCGCAAACAGTTGGCTTGGTGAAACTGTCAGATTATCGAAAAAGACGAGCTGAAGTCCTTGAACAAAAAGAACGAGAAGCACACGATAAGTCCTTAGGCAGGTTTACCCCCGGGACATCCAGGAGTGGCACACCATCGGCAGGAGACAAGGCAGACGGGTAAGTGAGATGCAGTCACCTTCTGACTACTTTGTATATCGCAGGATATGCTTGCTAATTGTCAAAGTGCAGTGAGCAGAGTGACGAGCCGCTGAAGAAGAAGAAGAAGAAAGTTCGAGCCCTCGCAAAGAGTAAGCTTTCGTTTGGCAATGATGAAGATGAGGGAGAGACTGAGGATACACCCAATATATCTCGCGATCCAAGTGAAAGCAGGTCTCGGTCGGGCACACCGCGCGAGTCGAGCCCAAAACCATCTCGGCGGTTAGCTCCAAATCCGCATTTGACACTTCCTCGACCGAAACTAGTAACAAAATCTGCTCTTGAAGCAGAGTCAAAGGCTAGGGATGCTCTCCGGCGAGAGTTTCTAGCCCTCCAAGAAGTAGTCAAGGCGACTGAGATAGTGATACCGTTTATCTTTTATGACGGAACAAATATACCGGCTGGTCAGGTTACTGTGAAGAAAGGAGACCCTGTATGGTTGTTTCTTGATCGGTGCCGGAAAGTCGGTGCAAAGCTAGGGCTTGCAGGTGCTGGAGGTGCGGCAAGGGGACGAAAGGACCACCGCAGAGAATGGGCTAGAGTAGGAGTCGACGATCTCATGTTGGTTAGAGGCGGAGTCATTATCCCACACGTAAGCTCCCTTTGCTGACCTGGTTTCTTTTTTTTTTGTCAACTGATGCTAATGCCGTTCTAGCACTATGAGTTTTACTACTTCATTGCCAATAGAATATCCAATTTCTCCGGCAACGGCGGGCTACTGTTTGACTACTCGGATGCTGCGCCGCCAACTTCCTCCGATAATAACAGCAACGCAACGCCTGTGCCCGAAGGGAAGGACGCAGACCCAACCCTTACGAAGGTTGTAGATAGACGGTGGTTCGAACGGAACAAGCATATTTTTCCAGCAAGTCTCTGGCGTGAATACGAACCCGGACCCGAATTTGAAGAGAAGATGCGTGGAGTCCGACGGGATAACCAAGGGAACGCATTTTTTTTCTAGTAGAATTCCGGCCTTCGTTTGTATGGCTGTTCATTCTGCTTTCTGCGCCGTTCTCATATGGAGTTGAGAGAGGGGGAAAGCGGGTGCATCATCTTTGGTCATCGGCTTTTTTTCCAACTCCTTATTATACCCCTGACATGTTGCGTGTAATTCTTGCCATCTCTATTCTCTATATACCCAAGCAGAGTATTCAATCGCTTCGAAAGCCCGCAGAAGAGAGAAACGGATAAAATTGTTCTGCCGATAAGGATTGGATGGACAAAAAAACCAAAACACGTGACCACAAAAGTTGGTACTTCCTAATAAGGAAACTGTGACTTTTGTGTTTTGTATTTGTTTACATCTCAAGTTTTGCTTCAAATTTTGCATCTTCAGATCTTCGCTCTGCCTCATTACCAGTGAAGGATCCCTGTTGTACACTCTATGCTTCAAAGTGCTTTCTATCTGTGATGGCTCAAGTTTTGGATTTCAGTTTGCGTTGTAACAACCTAAGTTGCCGCACAGCTTTGACAGAAAAGGCCGTAGTTACTACTTGCTCGTGAGCTTTGAGAGCCTTTTCATGCATTCCGGGATTGTCTAACATTCTCTATAGCCACATATTCTGTCTCCGCTGCGCGAGCCAAGGAGGGCTATCTCAATCACAAACTACGGGTAGACAATGTCCAGCCTGCCAATCAAGTCTCCCAAACCCGGACGATGTGGTTTCGACTATCCTCACCCCGACAGAAGATTACAAAACCAGCGTTTTGAGTGGACTCGACCCAACTACCATAATAGAATGCGCTGGGAGAGCTTTGTCATTCTGGACTTACCAGGCAACGCAGGAAATGTACGGTTCCCACTCTCCGTCTTTGTGTCTCAAAATCTCTGAAGAAGCTATTAAACAGTTGACTAATTCTGTCCAGATTCTACCAGGACCATTTGAGCAAGACATTAAGAGAGAAATGCAGTGTAATGGGCAAACAGATGGATCAAATGGCGCATGACGCAAATTCTGCTATAGAAACCCTCCAGCATCGGATATCAGGTACGACCATATGCGTATGCCACCTTGAATATTATGACTATCAATCTAACTATGGTATCTTTCTAGAACTTGAACATGGCCAGGAACAGCTCCAAAAGAAAAATCAGGAGCTAGTCAACGTGTACAGGGATAAATGCAAGAAACACGCACAGATGACGAATCTCTATAACTTACTGAAGAATCGTGCCATTCGGTCTCAAATCCAAACAGCTGTTTCCGATACTGTTGCTCAGACACTCAATTCATATGGAGCAGTCGATAATACCCAGCACGCTAGCCTAGATCCACAACGGCCTACAACAAGCCTCACCGTCTCTCGCATGAGTGATATCAATCAGTATAACAGGGCAAGCAATGACCATGACTCTAGAGTTCCACGGCAACATAAAGGGGCCTTTAACCATCGTAATGGAACCATGATGCCTCCTCCCTCTGTGATACCAGTATCCCGAGTTGGTAAGTGTCGTTGGTTCGGAATTTTCCTTTGAGCCCCATCTTACTCTAAGCCTAGTAAAAAACACCCTTCCTACACCTCGACATCGTACCAGGCTACCACCCCAAACCCAAGTTAATAGTCACTCACCTCACGATCAGCGAGCACCTAGAGGCACATTTCGCAGCCCCCAATATCGTTCAGTGTTAGGTGATCAAGTGAACCAAGTAACTGGTGGCAGTCATAATTCCCACGGGCTCGGAGCTGGTATGAAGATAGGCCGGTCGGCGGATGCCTCATTTACTCATGATATACTATAATGATTTCATTCCCATGATACACTTGACATTGCAACATATTTTGGCCTGGACTTCGTCGTTTGGTAGCCCTTTATATAGCTAATGTGCACCCCTTATTACCCTATCTCAGCCACAACCAGTAACGCTACAGACTGGATAAATAATGATTTAATATATTACATATATTTTTTAATTGCAAACAAAGCTTCGGAAAACCAGAGATGTCAATCAGTAGTAACTAGAGCCTTCAGTTAGCTAGTAGGATCGTTGTTGTTAGCTAACTAAATGCTCATTTACCACGAACAGGCGGGCACTCCGCGTGTCTGCCCCATTTGACCAAATTGTAGATTCGACCAGCTATTAACGAGCCGGAGACCACGATATGTGGAGGGCGGTTTATTGGGTGTCGAATACAATGGGTATCCATATTGTTCTTTGGCGCAGCTTTTATCTTTAGACCAAATAACAGGCTGTTATTTCTATTCGGGATAAATTATGCGAAGTCACCCAATGCGTAGTAGGTCTCGACGTGCCTTTAATGATATCATTTAACTAGAAGTTGTCACTGAAAAGGTGTCAATACTTCTATTAATGAGAAAGCTATCATATCAGAGAGATAGGCATGTTGTAACCATTTGGTAACATAATATTGTAGGGCGCGGTAGGTAAGCTCCTGTGTATACAAACATGGACACGGCTAGCCTATGGGACCCATAGACGGACAAAACCAGTGACTTCTTGACGGCATGTCACACAGCTGCTGAAATTATTCATGGCAAGACTTATCCTGCAATCTTCGCATATGCAAAGACAGCGACATGGCCATGTTATGATAGCTCTTGGGGAGGCCTGACATATGACACATTGCGGTCCATCTGGCCCGAGGCCCGACGCGCCGGTAGCCCAAGTCTGAGAATTCTCTGACGTGAGAGGAGGAGTATTATTTTGGCTAGTGCCTTGCCTTCGTTCAAGAATCAGGTTCTCCAAGATTTCCAATTCCTCTTCCATCGTAGGACGGCTTGAACGCCGGTTCTCTGCTGGCCAACATGCATTCGATGAAGTCAGGATTCTCGCACGCTCTACATTCAACTGTTGTCGGAAACGGCGTCGTGTCATTATCTTGCCTTCGCTTGAAGCTAGGATGTGTGCAGATAATATGCGGGCCTCGTCTCTGGTCTCCATATCCTTGGGATCAAGGAGGCGAGCTAAGGATGTCATGTCAATCCTCTCCTCTGGCACCCTCGATAAGCCCGGGAAGGGGTTGCTGGGGGTTGGCGTCCGTCGGCCATCAGAGTCGCAAGACTCCCATTCGGATTCTTCAGCTGTTGACGTAGATACTACACTTGTTGTATCCCAGTCCTGGGGCGGGGGAGAATAATCCTCCGTCATATCTTGATTTCCCCAGGAGCCACCAACCTTCCACCAGTTGTAAAGTTTGTTGTCGAGATGTTCCTCCTGCGATTCGCCCCATGACTCACTAATCATCATCTCCCTTTTTCTCATTTCCTTTTCCACGTCGAAGTCGTCTGTTTCTGGCAGCTCCAGGACGCCTTCATCCGTCAAAATCCAGAAATCTAGCGGTGGGCGGATTTCCGCTTCATTTGTACCGCTAGGCTGTTGTCGAACGCCCGCAAGATGCACTAGCCATTGTGGTTTCAGTGGTAGCTTAAAGTGGTCCAATAGTCTTACCAGCCCAAACGCCCACCATCCTGCCAGCATATAGAAAATTGCTTTGAAAAATGCAAAACCATGATAACACCTAGTTGGCCCCCGAAATGCTCCTACATTCCCCAATCCAGATTGTTTCTTCATTGCCTGAGAGCTGGATTGCGTCCTTTCAAGCTTTTTCTCTTTGCCATACCCACTTTCCCATTGTCTTGGGTGGTTAGGAATAGCGAAATTGAAGTTCTCATCAAGTTGGACGTCATCGCCCCGCGGAAGGCATTCCTGGCTGCTTTGATCCCGTCGAGATGTAAACTCTGCAAGCCTATCCTCTTCCAACCATGTCATTTTGCGTACTTTTACACTCTTCCCTTCGTTTAGAAAAACCGCGTCACTAGCAGCAGATAAGGCAGCATACCCTACCCTAACAAGAGTGGCATAGAAATCATCATGCATCTGGAAACGGGTATTCTGGATCTGGGTGGAGCTTTGCATGTTACCATGGGCGATAGCAAGGCGCTCGCGAAATGAGTTGGGACGCGGAAGGTTAGATGGAAGAGAGTACGCTGTCAAAAGAAGGGCAATAGTGTATATTGCTAGGCACGTTAATATGCCTAGCAACATGAGAAGATGAGGTACAAATCCCACGATACAGACTGTGGGGAAATTCAATAGGCCAGCGTGGTTGCCGTCTAGATATGATCTGAGGAAACTCCAGACCATAAATCCCATGAATGAGAGTCCCCATACAGTGGTGTTTATGAGCCGATACTGGCTCTGTTTTCCAAAGACGTCTAAAAAGTTCGTCGCTAGACTATTGCAACATGCTAGCAGCGCAATAACTAGCAATTCGGGGGTGGCGTTGAGTCGTTCTAGGACACGTTCTTTTGAGAATAATGGAATGGTCGAAGCTCCATCTCCGGCAGCGGTGCCCTCGACTGACACGCTGGCTGTAGATTTGGTGATGCCGAGGAATTCTAATCCAACTGATCGGACAATTTGGATCTCCGCCTCTGCAAATGCAAGAGAAAGTTCAAATACGGACATACCGCCCTCCGTAGCAAGAGGTTTCCCCTGAAGTGCGGCAGATAATGTATCAATGAAATGGCCAAAACACAGTCGGAGAAATGCCGGCCACAGGAGAGAAAATGAGCCATACGTGACACCAGGTCCTGGGGACGTAAAAGTTGCGCTGCATGATGACTGCTCCTCCTCCCATTGCAATAAAGACGAACTTAGGTGATATAATAATCCTCCTTCACCAGCATAGTCTAGCCTCGATGATTTCCCTGGTTGGTCATACCGGAATATAGAGTATTGCGGTGAGGTCTGGCAGCGAATGGCGCGGAGGAGCTTTAGAATCTGTGTGGCAAACAGGACTATTGGGATAATACGGAGAATAAGGGTTGTATGCCACTTCAAAGTCACTTGGCGACGAGGAGAAGCATAAACCGTGACGCGGTTCAGAATCAATGCCTGTCCAATACCAATCAGCAAGGGAAGATCAAATGAGGGTCAACTCTAGGGAATGACCAGGCAATAATTAGCGGGATAAGCCACAAATTAAACCTACATACCACTACAAAACATGCCAGGGACCACCTTGTAGTCATGTAGTTGAAGAATCCTCCAAATTTTTTCAGCGAAGGTAGGAAACCTCCCATGCTGAACCCGGAGGCGGCCTCCGTCGAAGCAGCAGAGCCTGCTGCAGCATCGCCTGAGAGTGCTCCATTCGCACCGGTGCCAGTCATAGCAGCAACAACGGCTGCCGCTGCCGCCGCATCATCACCTGCCACATCTCCGCCTCCGATACCAAAAACCCGAGCTAAGCCGTCTAGGGCCGAGGAAAATGCAACATCCAGGCCTATAAGGCGGACAAGTTGACGTGGTAATGTAATTATAAACACCTCCGCATGATAGACAAGGCGAAACGGTAAAAGAAGGATGTCTCGAGGCTCTGGTGGTAGAAAGGCGTGCCACGTCTCGGTACTGTTGATAGCTTTACTCATAGCGTCCATAGCGAGGGCGTCTTTGTCCACAGCCATTGTGAAGGTCGTATTCTGCGTACGGAGTACTCTGGCAGCTATGCTGTGGACCTGCTAGTGGAAGCTGTAGAGGCAGCTCTCAGTAGAGAGAGGACATGGACTCATAGCTCTCGTCGAAGGGAAGCCAATATCTGAAGCCAGCCAACGACTGTAGACTATCAGCTACTGTCTCGTTGAGGTCAAAGTAGATCGGGCATTTAATGCTGCATTATCGCGAAGTCCGGGGTAGCAACCTCCGCCGGCACTTTTGGGTGAGTATCTTGGATATGCGGGTTCGTCGACAGTGCAAGTCAGTGCACGGCAGAGTAAGTCACGTAAAATTAGCGGCTCCAGGCAGCAACTTGACCCTGTGAGACTGTCAAAGCTGCTTCTTTTGGTCTTCTCTTCTTCGTCGCCTTTTTTTATGTCTTTGCCTTTCAAAAACGCTGTATTGGAAGTCGGAAGTAGGAAGAAGCAGCTGCGGGTCCGCGCGCGGCCTGTTTGTCACGTGCTGTTACTGACTAAGCATATAGCTGAGCCCCTGAAACTACACCAAATATGGTTAGCGTGTTATGACTAATGAGCCGCCTCAGGCGCCTTTCATCAATTTCCTTCATAGATCTGCGTTCTCTTTCTACCCCAGCCCTTGGGTTAACTCGGTCTCTCCCTGGCATCATGAAACAGTCTTCAGTCCCATCGCGCGCCGAAGTCATGGCAGCATGTAGGCTTAGCGGTCCTATGGTGAATGACATTCTGGATCAAGTACGGCATAAACGTGACAGAGGCCGAAGCGATATTACAACAATTTGTGAGTGAAAATACAGACCATAACATCATGTATACGCCAAAGGTTTATGACTCCTTTACCGAGCAGCGAATAAACGCTCTGCCAGTAATATATATTGTTATAGAGCGAGTATATGGTGAGGTTCTTGCAGCTGAAGAGGATGATATTGCGCTGGAAAATATCGCTGCTACTATTCATTATCTTATCTCTAGGAGCTTCCACTACTACCACAAGCATCCTTGGGCTATTAGCCGGGTAGAAATCTTGCGATTGATTCTTCTCAAATTATAGTACTTGTAGGACCTTGTTGGCCGAGGAACTCCAAGCCTAGATTAACGAGAAGTTAAAAGAAGAGGGATACCTAGATAGAATTGAATTACCTTCAGAATAGTATATCTACTATTGCGGCCTCTTATAGTTCAATATCCTTCGTAGTAAACCAGGTATTGTCCTTAATTAGGGTATATCGGGAGTTTTCCCACGTATCTTTGATGAATTTACCCTGTTTCATCAGTTTAGCAACCTCAATGGCGCCAGGTTTGCTCGGGCTCTTTATAAGAGGCCTTTTGGGAGCAAACCCCCCGCACACCTACGACCGCTGGCGATTGTATCAAGAATCAATGCCGTTGGCTGGTAGAGAGAGCGTTTGCAAGTACTTCATTGCACATCTTACGTGCTAGGATCTCTACCATCTGAAAACCCCAGATCTGTTCCATCTGGGCCTGAGTTTCCTGACATGATACATTTCCACGAAAGGCACCCAAACATCTTCCGATCCCAATGGAGCTTTTCGCTTTGCACTCAATAATCTACACGCCTCCAGAGACAGTGGTAGGACTGCATTGTTTCTTTCCTTCAATTTTTTTTTTTTTTTTTTTTTTTTTTTTTCACACCACATCCTCCGGAAGGCGTAGCCACTGTTTGTCCATCAAGACACTCATCCGACCCGTCTCCGTTGCTAGCTCTACCTCTATATATGTATCTAGACCGTATATATTTCCTGTTTTCCGGCATGGCGAGCCAGACAATATTGGTCAAAAATAGTGCTAGTGTTTGAGTGGAGCATGAAATTTCGCCGGCCTTTCCTGACAAATCTCAATGGTTCCTACAAAGAACTAGCACGTCTTCCTACTTTGTCGAGCAGCTGCCACCGCTATGCTATATCCGATAGGAGTAAAACAAGTCTAGCGTGGTGTCCATAACTCTGCCCGGAAGGTCCCAGGTTGCCTTGATAAGGCTGGCCGGTCATCAATACGGATTCAGTATCGGCTCGCGTGTTCAGGACAGATAATTAGACACGATTGCCCATTATGCATTGAAGTTTCGGAGTAGTATTGACATATCATCTTAGATAGTAAGTCAATTATAAAGCTGACTGGTAACTAAAAATTCCTTAGAATGTTATGTATGAGCATAGACTACTATCAAATAAGGAAAAGGGTCTGTGCAAGGAAGCAAGGGCTAGCTTGAAAGGAATATATCGATACATGCAAAACCGCTAAAAAAAGAATAAGAAGCAGGGCTCATAATACGGAGGCCTCGATGCATAGAACCAGAACGAAAATATGCGGGGTATGTGCGAATTATTTACAAATGATGCAACAATTCTGATGACCAAAACAAATATAGGAAGGGGTGGGTGATAATGCAGAAAAGTCGTTAGGTATATTTTGGGGAATAATTTATTTTTCCCAGCTGAATTTCCTAGTGAGATCCGGTTTGGGTTCACTTTGAGGCTGGGAGTCGAGGATTGCACTAGTAGAAGTACCGGTAGTTGTCGGCTCTACAGCGTGCTGACAAGAGGTGAGCAGTGAAGGAGATGAATCTGGTCTTTTATGTGATAGGGATGTGGAATTGGTAGATGTGGCAATGGGAGATGGGATGCCGAGGCTATTGTTTAGTTCTGAGGCGCCGAAGGTCGAACCTGGACCTATAGGGCTAACGAGGTCCTGTTCTGAAGGATTGGTCGTTATGTGTTGATACTGGATAAGAGGTGGAGGTGGTGGTTCGTTTCCTTCCATGTCCAAGTCGCGAGCCTTCTGCAAGTGTCCGTACCGGTAACCGGATATCTCAGTCGCTGGTAATTCAACAGGAGTGGCTGCCGGTAGTTCGTAGCGGATGGCAGCGTTGTCTGCTTCAACGGGATGGTGTTTATCAGCAACTAACTCTGCTGGCATAGAGGGAGAAACAGGTCTGCGCCAGAATTTCCAAAGAAACTTAAATCTGGGTGGATTCTCTTCTTTCTCGCTGATGGATAACTCCCGGGACCGCCGTTTTCTGTAGAACAAGAGTACGATCAAGGAGACGATTATAACTGCCGCACAAACGCCGATAGTAACGCCTACTATAGCAGCTTTGGGAATTTTCCGATCCGGTGTGACACCGTGTCCGCCAGGGAACGCACTGTTTGGAGGAGAAGTGATGGCCACAAGGTCCATGCTAATTCCGGAATCAGGGTTGAAAGTAGCCTGGGAAATGGAAAAGTTACGGCGTTCGTAGTCGACTGTTAGATATGCTTCTTGGAGAAACACTCTACCGATTGTAAGTTTCTTTGGGTCGGTCGTCCGCCTAAGTGGAAAGTAACGGAGGCCCTCGCTGCTTTGATTCTGATCAAGGCCAGGATAAGGGTATGTAAGTTTGTGATCAAAGGCAGCGAAAGGTAGCGTTATATTCACGGACTTTGACGAATCTGGGAGATCGGATAAAGTAAAGGTAAAAGAGACGTTTGAGCCAGCGATAGCATCGTAGGTAGAGATATTGGGCCCGTATGTATAGAGGTCCAGGGTATTGTTATAACTCAAGCCGAGCTTCCCGGCAAGTGAATCACAAATCTGCTCAGGAAACCACAGGAAAGGTGTAGAGGAGTCTATTACAAAAGTCCCGCTAGAGGACAGATCGATGGCTAAATCACCAGCCAACAAGTTTGAATTAGACATCGGGCCAGTCTTAACCTTGACGGACTTTATGGTAACGGCAGGCAAATTGTCCGGAGATAAAAAGAAGGAAACCTCGTTAGGAATGAATCGGCTCCTGTCGAACCCTCCAAAAGTAAGAGATGTTGGTACGCCTTTCATCTCTATCCCCCGGAAAATGTCAGCTCGGAAGTTCCGACCAGGTAACGTAGTTAAATGACGTACGATAAAAGGCACCGGCAGTATAGCCATAGCTATGACTAGGCACTATGCTCATGTTTTGTACCAGGCTGCTCAAGAGAGACAGTTTATTCTCGTCTGTGAAATTCGTGTCTGTGACGCCGAGTCCTAGCGAGCCGATCCACCATTTGACTGTGGTGACCATGCTAATAACTTGATCCGAGACAGAATCATCGTTGTTGAGACCGATAAGATCGTAGCCGTAGTCGCCGTAGCCCGCATCACCAAGCTGGAGATTACTCCCGAGCTCATACAGCCCAACATGCGACCAGGTCGAGGAAGCATTTGCGAAGAACAGACCACCGCGTTCTTTACGGCATCTCATGGCTACATGACCATGTTAAAAGTGCACATCTCACCGGCGCAACCACTCTTGTGCGGATAGAGTCGATAGGATAACATACTAGCATCACATCCACTACGTCCGATAACCCAAGTCTCTGATGAGACTGTGTTCGGTATCACCTGTAACCATTGTGACGGTGTTCCAACCCGGATAGATAACCTAGATATAATTCGGTTAGCCGATAGCCTTCATTTGCTCCTAGGATCGGGTTCACAGCAACGTACGAGCTCCATGAGCCATCATAACCGATCCTAGATCAATAAAAAAAAAACTGTTAGAACCAAGCAGCTTGTGCTACACAACGGCAAGACAGAGCTCAAGCATACCAGTTTGAGCTAGGAGTAACGCTCAACGGGGTCGGAGAAGAGGCGGCAGCGGCAAATTCGAGGCTGGATAATATGAAGACAACTACCGCCAGCCCAAAATTCCGCCCAGGAACACTCCGTAGGGGATCGCGGCCGCCGAAAAAGACAAGAGGACTCATGCGCATGGTCGGCGCACCTGGTCGAGCCTAGGCATTACCAGGAGAGGTCGACGTTGCGCCGTAGCTGGAGGGAAGACATATTTGAGAATAATAGCGAGACGATGGCTGCCCTGGTCCACGACTCCATCATGGTCCTACTAAGAGGAAAAGAAAGAAGTTCCCCAAGGAGAAAATAATGGCATTTTTGAGGAAGAAGGTCAGAAAAAGCAATGAACGATTTCTGTCGTCCATTATCTTTCTATAAGCTGGGCGTTTCTACTTCGTATCTTCGTCCTCTTCTTTCAAGGGGCACAGGGTATGGACCAGGCAGGACATGGGTTCGGCGTACAAGCCATTTCGACTAGTGAGAAACCACCAACAAGGGCTCGACAAACCTTGAACCCCGAGGTTACCGAGACGGTCAAACGTGTAAAAAATACGCCTGGGAGATCGTCTCTTCGGCCTCTGGCGATGGGCCAGATGGCATCTTTGCGCTCATACGGAGTCCACACTCGGACTTGCTCTTGCAGGACATACCAAAGCGTTAAGGCTCTGTACACTTCGTGACACTCATTGTCAATTGGCCTGGTAAGCCTCCACAATAGTGCGATTTAGTGGTGGCGCCGCCAGCATTGTTTCAAGCTTAAAGATTCCTTCGCCTTGACTCACAACTAGTGCACGAATACGTGTATCGGCGGTCTCGCCAGGATTGCTTATCAAGATGTAGATTCCAGCGGGAGCTGTTATCGTCAAAGTGCGCAGTTGATGTCTGATGCGACATCCAACTTTTTCGAGCCGGCTAATACATGCGTAGAGGGGCAGCTGCATAACTGGTACAGGGTTCCCCAGAAAGTGCCTACCCATAAGTGACAACCGGGAGGAGTCCTCTGCGACGGTAGCCGGATCTCACACCACCTCGCACACCTGGCAGGAGTATCGAATCGGCATGATGAAAGTGCGGGCACACTTGTTCCACATCAGCAGCATCAGCATCAGCCTTTCCTGCTTCCTTTCTTCTCTCACATTTCAATAGCGGGTGGCAAGGAAGCCTGTCCAGGGACCTGTATTGCAGATGATTTCCCGTATAAAAAAAGAACATGACATCGGGCCGACCCAGTGTCGATGCCGATGATCACTTCATTCCATCATTCAGTTTAAAAAAAAAAAGACAAGCGATGTTCTCCCTGACATAAGAGAAAAGTCCTCCGCACAAGGATATTTAAACGGTCTCATGGAAAAGCTGACTCTGGGCTCAGAACGGAATGGGCATGATGTTGGCCATCATTCCGTGCTGTCTATGTACCCGCCATTCGCTTAGAGATGATCAGGGGAGTACCATGCAAAGTCTCGCCCAACTGGAGGTAGCAAGCCATAAGCTGGAACTGCCTCTCTTTCCCTTCAAGGCCGAAGAAGCAATCTATATGGGTGCTCTGCCTCCTTGAAAGAAGAGAGAAAACACAAGCTCTTCTCTCTTTTTTAGACCTCAGCCTCAGCAAGGCTTCTCTTCTTTTAGCTGGTCCCGTATTCACTAGTCAGTTGGGGCCGATATCATCGCGGAATTTCATCTTTTTATCTGCTGGGCAGCATCGTCAACGACGGTCTTTATCTGCGCTGGCCAAAGCCATAAGTCGTCAGCTCTCGGCCGTCATCGCCGACACCCTTCCTCTCTCTCTACTTTTCCCTCGCCGTCTCTCGGTCTTCCCCCCTTTGCTGGCTCTGCTTGTCGTTGCTTTTTCTCTTCACAGCCTTCCTCAACTAGCTCCTGTCCATACTGGTCCGGTATTTTCTTTTTAAGTGCCAATCAACTGTGGCGTAGTCCTTATTTTCCGTTCCAGACGTGTTCATGCTCAAGAACGTTTGATTCCTTCAGCTTTCAAGAGCGCAAGCATTTATTTCTCTTTCTGTTGGCGCTGTACTGGATGTTGACAGTTAGCGATGCTCTCATCTTCGGCCGCACCTAGGAAACTGGAACAAGAATAATGAAGAAAATACCATTCCTCCTGGCCTTGATGGGCTCCTCCACGGCCGTTGGATACCCCTGGCACTACCACGACGGTATTTTCTTCTGATCGAGTGTATCAAGAACTGATGGGTTGGTTAACTGACGTTGGCGGTTTGTTGTTGTAGGCAGGATTGTAGTCCGCGAGATCGTCTCAGAGATATTCGGATCTTCCGCGCCGGCACCTCCACCTCCATACAACAACATCAATACCTCGCTGACACCAGCAGAGGCTCCTCCGAGCCCGTCATTATGGCCGCCGAACATCGAGTCATGCCATTGTCCCGTAACCTACGTGCCAATGCTGCCTGTGGAGTGTACAGGAGAGCTGTTCTATGCCACAAAGCCTCCGCAGACTGTGTACACTACGATCACCGAAGTGCACACGTTGAAGCCTATAGATACAGCGCCTATGGGCCCTCCTACGCTGGTCACCCCTCCTCCGCCATGCTCCACCTACAGTTGTCCTCCCGCACGCTGTAAAATGGGCCTTTTCCCTTCTCTCGCACCTCTAATATCGACCGTCAGCGTCACCAAGAAGACCACCATCATGGGCGTCCCCTCCGCCGAACCACCGCCATCATTCCAAGATACCAGCTCAGGAAGCGCAGCAGGCCAGAATATACCCCCTACAGCCTCGCCAACTGACGACTCGAGTGCTTCTCGGCCGTCCGGTAAATCAAAGTCAGATTCTGGCTCCCCAGACGAACCTCACAGCGGTTCTCAGGGAACTACTTCTTCAGCCAGCCAGGGTAATAGCCCGGAAGGCCGTCCAGAAAACAGTCAAGGAAGGCCTCAGAGCGGTACTCCAAATGGTCAGCAAGGAGGTAGCCAAGGGAGCTCTCAAGCCTCTCGACAAACAACGCTTGCTCAGCCTCCCGGTAGCTCCATGCCAGTTGATCCGGGGCCTATCACCTCAGAAGGTGCAGGCCACTCCCATTCAGTCCCTACCAGAACCATGTTCAACCTGGGTGGGATCCCTATCACTATTCAGGAGACTGACTCCGTCACTCTTGGAAATGGGCCGTCACGCACTACTATTACTAGTAATTCTACCCCGACCACATTTGCGGTTGATGGCCATACTTTTACCGTAAACCCTTCAGAGGTAATCTACCTCGACACTACTTTCCACCTCGGTGCAGATCCTATGAAGTCACCACCACTCGTATCAGGTACGGCTAATCCTACGGACAGAGGAGACAGGGAGGGTCCGCGAACCGACAGTGAGGGCCATACCATATCTCCTCACTCATGCTTCGGACAAGACCGACCTTCAGTCAGAGTCTTGCAGTACGGATATCCACTAGTATCAACACCACATTTGTTCTAGGGATAAGTACTGCACTTATTTTTGGTGGCCTCGTTGGAGTTTTATAACGACAATTTGTCTCTTTCTATATACCCATTTACCTTCATCTTGTATAATAGTAACGACATACCTAAATGGACAGCAGTCGCCCGCTGGTCTCATTGTTTACTTCGTCCTATTTAGCATATATGGTAATGCTACAGTTGCATAATATTTCGTTGTAAATGATACACGTCATATTTTTTGCCCTGCGATATTTATTAAAAAAAAAAACCCCTCAATTTCTTTATTTTCTTAGAACTAGAATAAATCCTTATCCTACCAGAAATGAAGCTGCTCGTCATGTGTATCATCTTAATGCAACTGCTACCTACATACCTCATAATCTAAACATCTCACCCCGAGACCTTACCCCATCTAGGATAAAGGTATTGTCAAGGGGAACATACTGTCTTGTAAGCACTTTGAGGGCCTCCTGAGCTATACACCCACCTGCCATGGCTGAGATATTATGCAGTTCTCCAATCCCCGCTCGCCGTACTTCCGATATGGCCGACTCAATCCGGGACCTAATCTCGCTCTCACTTTCATCCATACCATTTTCCTCCTGGCCTAGACCAGCTAGGACTTTCGAGAGCATTGCTGTCCAGTTGTCGGTTTTATCAATGTACGATGGTTCCTCCGTCATTCCTACATGGCCTGTCTCTTTGAATTCCGTCACTAGGCCGTCAAGAGTACTCAGCGCAATGAAAATGGGAATGAGAGAATCAGGGTTTTGCAGGCTGCTCTTAATAGCCTTCACTGTTCGCTGCGAAATTCCTCCTGATGGCACAGGCGATAATATTGGAATCTCGTTGCCCTTAATCACTTTGATATGAGCTGCGTTCTTGCAGAAAGTGTCAATCTCCTTTTCTGATATCGGCACCCTCTCCCGGCCGGCACGTAGCTTGCATTCAAGATTCCGAACAGTGGCAAGCACTTCAGCCGCATCCCTTCGTGCTTTTGACTTATATATGTTTTGTAACCAGATATAATCTGACGACTGCGCCTTCATGTCCGGTAGTGACCCGGACAAAGGAAGAACTGAATGTGTTTCATAAAATTCTTTGACTGCGGCTGCTATTATCCAGAAATTGGGTGATTTAGTTGTTAATTGCGAGCACTCATCCATATCAAAGGCATTGCGCAAGTCACTACTTAAGGAGTAGGGACCAATACTCTTTAGGACAGCCGCCACAGCCTCGTCGAAGTTTTCTTCGCCTCCTTCAGGATTATTAGTTCTAGCATGAGATCTAACCATGTCCCTAAACTCGGACTTTTCCCGGTAGTTCTGAGGGTATAGGCCGTTATGGTTGGCCTTCCACTTCTCGAGGAAGTGTAGCAAAAGTATCAAATACGGAACATGTCCATGCTCGTGGTCGTCCATACTATCCAGGTTCCCTGCCTTGCTTGCTGCAGCCGCAAGTTCCGGCCACGGATTTGTTAAACGAAGGTCTTCAGTGGAGCTGGCATCAGGGTGTGTCTCGACTACGGGGAAAGCGGATGGTAGCTGCAGCGAAAAGGACGCATAAAACCCTACCGAATGTGTGTAGATTAGGGGTATATCCAGCCGCCTTGTAGTTTGTGATATGGTTCGAAGGATAGACTGCCTTATTGGCCCGGAAACAATGACAAGCTGATGCTGGGGAAGAAAGTCTTCATCTTCGAGAATATCTAAAATGGTCTATATCGTGCTTAGCGTTAGGATGTCTGGCAGAAAGAGGAGGTGAAACTGTAGACGATACCATTGTATACGCTTGCCCATCAACATCTTCATTAAGCTCCCGAAGATATTTACATGTCTCCTCAGCTCTAGATTTACCGAGGCTGTCCTCAGATAGAAAGAAGTTCACGCCTAGATCAACCTCAGAGACGGTTGCAGGATCAACAATCGTGAAGCCACCTATCCCAGGCAGCACGAGATTCTTCAGAGTCTCAACGCCCACGACACCAGTCAATTCCGAGCCATCACTATCCACTGGGCCATCGGAGTTTATTAGAAGCACTCGAGAAGACTCTAGGGCTTGCTGGCCGCTAGCAGCCCAGAGTCGCAGCTGGCGGTCGTACTTCCTCTCCTTAGCGGTTGGGGCGGCATGCGAGGCCATGGTTCAATTTATTTTGAGCGTTTCGGCGGGCCGAGGTGGGCGGCGTGAAGCTCCGAGATACCGTCTCGCCGTCCTTGGGACAGTTAAGCAGACATATAAGAGCGCTCCGTCTCTTCTTCCCTTCTTCCTCGACGTCGTCGTCGTCGTCGTCCTGCTTCTCCTTCCTTTTGCCCCGCGTAAACAGCTTACTCGCTTATATAATCGCAAATTTATCACGTGATACCGATAGAAAAGCTTGTTTGTCAGCTAACCCCTTATCGATAAAAATTAAAGTTTTGTCATTGATAACGGCAAAGTCAACCTCCTGGCCAGAAGAAAGCGCAGCCTCGGTGGCTTCGTCGGATTGAAAAGGTGGGTTGATGAAGTACAATTTGTCTCGCTTGTTGCGATACATGAGAGGACATCATTAGAAACTAGGTTCTACCCGGTCAATCTTTGATCTGATGCACTGCCAGTAGCCGAAGGCAGCAGCTAACAGAATACGAGAGCCCAAAAAGACCCCTCATCTCGAAGAGGTGCATATTACAGGCCGTCCGGATACATCTAGATCTATGAAATCTATTTCAGCGTCGAGGAGCTTTCTGTAAGTGTCTACGTGCGCTGACTTGTTAGCCTTCCCCCTTTGTGACTGAAGCCCTTGCTCTAAGATACAAAAGACTACAGTGAGATCCCATAATAGTTCCTGGCCTTGTCAGTTCGAATTCGATACTCCTAGTTTATAATCTTTGGGCTTTTCTCTAAAGTGAAATGTCAATAATACATCTGGAATCGCGCTTCATCCTCTTCTATACTGCGTTCAGCTAGGTGGAGAACATTCTTTGACATCCCGAGAGCGCCCTTTTTTCTCCACATAATTCTTGCCGTTTAGTCAGATGAATTAACAGTTGGCTTCTAGGACAAAGATTTCCCGCACCTCTCCTTCTTTGTGCGTGCGTTCTTTATACGGTACGAAACCCTCTTTATTAAGAAACAAACCATCGCTTCCCGACGCTGTGTATAGGAGGATATACTCCCAATCACCCTACCTACGACTTCGCCGCTTGTCCATAAAGAGACCGACACCAGCATATAAAATGGCAGACATAGAAGCCGCAAAAAGGGCCGCTGCTACAGAGGCAGTAAAAAATCACTACCCAAAATATGCGAAGTTCATCGGTATTGGGAGTGGAACTACCATAGTCTATGTTGTGGAGGCTATAAAGGCACTTGGGATCGAGACTTCAGCCACCAGCTTTGTGCCCACCGGATACCAGTCTAATCAACTGATCGTTAATGCTGGTCTTACGGCTATTGCATTTGACGCTTTGCCAGAAGGGACCATACTGGATGCTGCGTTTGATGGGGCTGATGAGGTGGATGACGACTTGAACTGCATCAAGGGTGGTGGAGCGTGCCTCTTCCAGGAGAAACTGGTCGCTCTCCAGGCAAAAGAGTTTATCTGCGTTGCTGGTACTTGACCCTAAATGAGTAAGAGAGATATCCTTCATACAGCTAACCCTAAACCCGATAGATTGGCGCAAAAATCAAAGTCGTCTTCTCACTTCCTGGCCATCAATCCCAATTGAAGTCGCGCCTTTGGCTGCCCGCCGGGTGATGGATGAGTTGAAGGTTTTGGGTAGCCCCAACCCTGTTCTAAGACAGGACCCTGTCGCAAAGGCTGGCCCATTAAAGACTGATCAGGGATTTCTTATCGTCGATGCGCCGTTCCCAGCTCTGCTTTTGCCTTCCGATATCGCTGCAGGAAAGAAGGCAGAAGGTGGTGTCTGGGAGGTAGAAGCCTTGGCCAATGCTATAAATGCCATAACTGGTGTGTTGGAAGTCGGTTTATTCTGCGGACCTAACGGTCCCCAAGCTCAGACCAACGGAAGAGCAGGAGGGCAGAAACCTGTTGCGGCCTACTTTGGAAATACCGATGGCACGGTTATTTCAAAGAGGAAGAAGTAGATGTTTTCACCTCCCCGCAAAAGCCCAGTTACCAATTTTGGCTTTTCTTATTGCTATAGTTAGGTAGACAATGTCTCTGGCGAAGCCATGTGTTCATGCATGAAACAACCGATAATCTCAAAATGATCACAGCCCAGCGACAAAACAACACGAAATTGACTCAGGTTTTCTAGAAATCTGACTAGCCATTAGTTAGCCCTAACTTTAAACTCCTATAACTAACCAGTTGCAACAATGATAAACCCTCAAGAGTACACCCCTAACCCATTCGCACCTCCCCGTGAAATGAACATTATTTCGGAAATCTAACAGTTGGGTTGAGGAAAGTCTCTTCTTCTTCCAATGGTGAGAATGGAGGTGCAGATTTAGCTCTGAATAATGTGTTAGAATTCATGCCTTGGTAGAAATAGGCATCGGCCTTTTTCTGTCGAGCCATCCGGCGGTCCATGTATTGTTCGTATGCTTCTTGTCTGATGGTAGCAAACAAATACTTAGGATGCACACAGATAGCCTGGGCTCCCTTTTGCCCAAATCCAAAGGAGGTTATTGATACAGCTTTTATCTCGTCCACTTGAAGACCCTTCTGGAGATAGGCAATAAGATCAAACTCCTTTAAAGCACGATCGATGTTATCTGCATTTCGGTTTCCAGGAACCGGCCCTGTATCTAGCATCTGCAGCGCACCGTTCACCATCCACGCACCAGCTGCACCTTTGGAATGGCCAGTTAGGTATTTTTGGAATACACTGAGAATTGGGTTTCCTTTCTGCCGACCTAGAGCCTCGAGTTGCTTTTGGATAACAGCGGATTCATTCTTGTCATTCAAAACAGTGGAAGTCCCGTGAAAGGAAGCAACACCAAGATCATCAATGGTCAATCCCCATACGGCCAGAGCACCTGCAAGCGGAGCAATATATGGGCTGTTACGCCAGAAGTCATTGCCCAGAGCATATTGGGCTTCCCTAGTCTCCTTTTCAAATTCTTCTAGGATGAGCTGTTTTCGTTCTTGATGGTTTATCTTAACGTCAGAAGTAACCGCCGAGGCGATATCGGCTTGTAAATCTGCCAATAACGCCTCACGGGATAGAGCAATCTGTTGTCGACGGGTATCTAGTTTCTTCTTTCGACCACTGATATTGGGAAGAGAAGGTTGTACAGTAGAAATGATGTGCTTGGAGTTTGTTAATACCCCTTTTCCCGGTGCCGGAAGCGATCTCCCAGCTTTGTCACTAGATGTACCAGCAAAAGCAACAATGCCCCGAATTGGTAGGCCCATTTGTAGTGCCAACTCCGCAGTAGTAAGGACCTGAAGTCCACAACCTTGTGATTCTATAAAGCCGTTGCGGGTGCTTGTTGTAGGCCTTGACATCTCTCCTGGTTCCCTACCACGCATGAGCTCTTCCGTTGCGTTGCTCGTTGCCTTCATATTAGCAAACTCATATGACGTCTCACCACTGAAATCATCGCAGCCACCAACGAGACAGAACTTTGCTTTCCTGGCAATAATTGTATCGTACCCAAGCTCCAAGGACTCAACTGCCGTGGCGCAAGCTCCTACCGGAGTGCGAATTGGACCACTAGCAGAGAGTAATAGCATATTTACCCAGGCGCCGATTGTATTAGTAAAAGTCTCCTGCAGAATATCTTTCTGTATATCTTTATTCATATAGCGGCCGCTAAACATCTTGCCTAGGGAAGACACCCCTCCAATCCCTGATCCGATGCAAATAGCTACATCAGAGACATGGATGTATTGGTATAACTCGTATGGATCTGTGATTCCTGCTGATATAAGAGCTTCTACAGTGCAGACCAATGTAAAGAGAGTAACACGGTCAACTTGCGTGATGATTTCCTCTGGGATCCCATATGTTCTGGCATCCCAACCTGTGGGAATAAGCCCGGCCACAGTGTGGCTAAATTTCATAGCCCGTGGGATGAAGATTCTTGCGCCTTTAAGAATCCGAACACAGTAAATATCAGGCTTGGAAGATCTTCTGATGTCGGCATAGTCCCCATGTTCTAGCCGCATCTGTTCAGCAAGGGATTCGGGAACATAGAGAGGCTCTAGATTCTCTTGAATGATCACCTCATGGAGGAACTGTTTCTTATTTGGATCGTAACCGTCACATAACTCTGGTTCGATTAGCCGAATGCCAGAATGGTTAAGAATGTAGTCCTCATATATTTCCTTAATCTTTGACTCTACTACAGGCTGTTTGCTTTTCGAGTCCACCCAGCCTGAATAGGGTTTTCCATCGATACTTTCGGTGGTGTAGCGGATAAGCCCCATCAGCCAGGCCATTTCGACAACACCATCAAGGGAAAATTCGCCATGTGCCTCCATTTCCCATCGAGTTCTGGAATTTCCGTAAGGGCCTAGCTCTGAAAAGCCAGTGATGACAACCACACGTTGGAGATCAACCATATCCACCAGATCTTCGCTAAGTGGATAAATATCTTTGTGGTATTGAAGCACCCTTGGAAAGTCAGGCCGTACATGTGCTCTTTGCTCTAGTGTATGTGTCTTCATTTCTGCTGGCGACACTAATTTCACACCTTTGACACATTGTTCCTCGAACTTTAACTCCGTGAAAAGTGCGGATTGAATATCACTGCGTCCTTTGAGCTCCCCGCGAAGACTTCGAAGTTGCTCAGCAAGACTTTGCACTCTAGTCATCCCCCCGGTCAGATCCACGTATATTGGTTGTTCCTGGCAGATCATGTTTATAGAAGGTGTACAGAGACAAACAAGAGCGTGTGCCATTTCTTCCTGTGAGAAAGTTCGCAGCCCTAAGGACTCCATACCTTCGGCTACCAGATCATTTTGGTTCATTAAACCCGTGCCTCGAGTCCACCCGATGACAGCGCCACAAATGGCTAGATATTCCTGCCAGTCCTCTGAGTACCAGCGGTTGAATAGGGTTTCAAGTGCAATTTTTGATTCTCCGTACAAGCCATCACCACCAAAGGATCCGTGGTTGGGGGATAAAGGTAGTAAGACCTGCGTTGGGTTGGATAGATACTTGTATCTTTCCTTAACAGTCTTTATGGATCCCAGCAGCCGAAGGGTGTTCGTCAACATTATACGATGGGCAAGTTCGGACTTTGAGTCAATTGTGTCAATTTCCTTGTTACTTTCGCTGAGTGCAGCAAATGGAATCAGATAGTCTATATCCAACCCGAGTCCCTTCGTATCATAGACATACTCAACGAGGGATATCACATCCTGCTTGCTAGCCTGGTTGAAGGGAATAACAATTAATTGAGAATCACGACCTCCATGTTCAGTATAGATAGCTTGATATTTTCTTGCGACTTCTGGAGAAAATGACGAAGTTGTCATCACCACTCTTGCACCTCCTTGAAGAAAATAGCAGATAATGGAAGCACCAATAGAGCCGATCCCAGCCCCGGTCACCAGGACGGTTTGGCCGCTAAATGATACCCCTTGACTTTCAACCAAATCTAGGGCTTTGTAAAGATGACTAGTTGACTCCCGACTATAGGTCCATCCATGAGGAAGCATTTCTTTAACGTGGATATAGGGTTCGCCAGCGGTATTAGATTGAGTAGCCAGGTCAGCAAAGCGAACTGACTCTCTCCTCTCCTTCTCAGCATATTGCAAGCTTCCATCATGGGTAACTGTAGTGCAAGGACCGAGATTCTTTGGGGTATTCTGGTAAACAGGCCCCAGGCCTAGTCTGCTTCGGCATGTTCGTTCCAGCCTTTGGAAAGTATGTCCAAATTGAGGATGTCCTGAGAAATCAGCTATCGCTCTTTGAAGAATAGGCAATATTTCTTCTTCAGCAGCATTGGCAATGAAATTGCACCTCTGTATAAGTGAATCTGGATCAAGAAATAGACGCCCCTGTTTAACTGACTGTGCAAAGCTGATAAGTTCAAGCAAACTTTGCCGGGCCCACGCCCACGATGAATCGTAAACTCGGATTTTACGAGGGTCGAACTTTGGGCGAATACCATCTGCATATTCTTGGCCATGTTCCGCAACCCAAAGGTCTATTTCGGTCTGTAGTTTTCTCGCAGCCACTTCCTGAGCGTCATCAACGAGGCTTCGATCAAAATCACAATCTTGTTCAAGATGCGAAGCATAGACTTTTAGAAGCTTTCTAGACAATGACTGCTGCGACTCAGAGAATATTCGCAACGTTTCGGCATCAACCATGACACTCGAGGTATTTTTATTTTCTGTTGAAGTGTCTCTCCCAAGGGTAATTCCTTCCCTTAGTGCGTATTCTTCAGCTACAAGGTCGATAAATCTAGTTGCTTCATGTTCAGCTGAGATTCGCGTGGATGGCTGCATTGTTGTGGCTAGCACCAAACAAGAATTCTGCCTGCCATTCTGTAGCTTCCATTGTACCAATAGTCTCTCCCTAGCCACAGCAGAAGTAAAAGCACCTGGCATTTTCGAAGTGAACATTGAATTGATCATGGCAGTGGATATTTTGCCGAGGGTTCCTTTATAGTTTAACTGCACCGTGTTCCACAATTCAGTCAAGGGAATATCCTCAACGTGATCAGGTAAGAGCCCAAATTCGGTGCTGAGATCACCGACTATTTCATTCTCTAGTGTAGAGCGTCCTGAGTGGATGTTAGCAATAATTTACAGTCAAATGTGATTTTTCTGTGGCTCGAAACGTACCTCCTGCTAGTAATTTAAGCGATTTTGAAACATCTATATCTGGTGCTGGCTTTTTAAGAGCCTTGGAAACAATAGCGATCAGAATCTCTCGTGCTTCAATAGGCCGATCGTCTATATCGCTTGCGAAATTTATGCAAGATGCAGATAATATACCTTCATCAACGGCTAATTTGTTAGTAGCGGGCGGTGCTGTAGTATTGAAATCCCTTGCTTTCAATTCTGTACTTGCTACCTTATCTTTAGGCTCTTCCATTGGTGTAGAAGTATTCGGAACAGATTCGTAGTAGATTTTTTGTGTATCCCTTTCAGAATTAAGAAGTTGCCGTGTTGGGCAGATGATGCAGTCCTGAGTCTCATATGAACCCTTTATGGTTCGTTGGAACATTCCTATAAGGGTGTTTGTAGGTCCAACTTCTATAATATTGTTGCACGCTTTATCTGTAAGAATGACATCCTGGGTTTCAATCCACCGCACTGGGGATGCAAATTGATATCTAATCTTAAATTAAAATACTTGAACCAGAACTAGGTGACAGTATGAGTGAGGAATTACTCACGCCATAAGCTCAATTAGCAGTGTATGAGCCAGTTTCCGCTGGTCGTTGGCATGGCCTGCCATGGTAATCACTCTCGCGTTTTTCTCAATCGGTAGACCACCCAGGATCTTCTTATGGTGACAAAATCTTCACTTGTTTCTGTTAGAAGCAATATACATATTGTATTCATAGCTGTAGACTTAACAACAGCTACTTATCTAGAGCCCCATATCTAACTCTCCTATCATGACCGTCGTGGTACCGTTGTATTCGGACTTGCAAACTGATAGGTGGAATAGGTGTGCTGGGTCAAACAACAGGGGTATCAGCTCTTGCCGGTTGTACTCCGTGACCACTATATACTGGTGCTATGGATATCGGACAATCAGACAACGGGGCTTTCAGAAAGGGAAGAAAAAAGAGAAAGAAAAAGAAAAGAAAAGAAAAGAAAACAAAAATAGAAAATAAGAATAAAAATAAACGGGGAAGGAGGAAGGATGTGAACATTCTTCTCTCGCTACTCCCTGCACCGGATATAACTTTGGTGCTCCGTTCTCCGTACTCCTAGGCAACTCTGGGTTTATTCCTCTTTGCAGGTGGTCAAATAAAGGATGTATGGCTCGGACCTTTGATGGATCAGGCCATGCATTGCATTGCATTGCAGCCTTCAGGGGTTAAAAGCGCAATGCTCCATCTCGCACTCTAGCAGCCAGGAATGGGTATAATCCTTGCTGTTAATTAAAATGAGGTCATAGCTGCTTGCTCAAGAGTTTGTTAAGAATTCAGCGGGTATTCTGACTATGTTTTCGCAATTATTTTTCTTTCTTTCTTTTGCATTTTCACTTTTCGGTAGGAACAAGATTGGCTAAAGGAAGATGTTTATTCACGACGTCAACTCGAGGATGGATGAATTTGTGTTGGGGCTGTTGAAATTAACTACAGTTTAGTCAGCATCCTCCAGTAGCCATTAAAGTTTTGTCATAATGAACTTAGTCAGCTCTGACCAACCCATCAGAGACTTCCATCTTTCATATAGACAAATACCTCCTTGGCAAGCTCATCTTCATTACCAATTGCTACGTACGTAAATCCTCCTGTAGCTAATCAAAATCATTCATTCCATTCGCTACGGTTTCATTTTTTAATTCTTCGCTGGTAAGTAAGCTGAATTAGTTAGTCGCTACGTCGCTCCATTCATGCTACCGAAAGTTCGTGGGCTCAGTTCTGGGGGCCTTTCATCATCCATCATTTTCTGCCGTAATCACTCATATTCAACCCTGTCTCAAAACATTTATGAACGCCTAAGCGCTTTCCGCGTTGGACACCGGGGAAACCTGCCATAGCCACCCTAGATCGGACTTCACGATGCCCTTCTGGACGTCTAAAAGCGCCTTGGACAGTTTTTTACAGCCCTCACCTGGCCCGTTGACTGCAAATTCGAAAGTATCCCCGGTTGACCTGCGAGTGATCGATTTGACAGGCAGTATCATAGCTGCCGTCCCAGCAGCAAGAACCTCTGTGAAATAAGGAAGCTCGGAATATGGGATCTGTATACCTGTTATTTCTCTGGGCTGGCAAGGGATATCCGCTGTACCTTCACTTACAGGGCGGATCTCTACATTCCATCCAAAAGATTTGGCGAGCTCTATACAGCTGGTACTAGTGACACTCTTCAAGATCGAGCGACTATTCGGTGAGACAAGGGTATATGAACTGCCGCTCTGTTTCAGGCCAATAAAGGCGGAGGTGCTAAACTCATCAACCTCCGAATTATCACGGCTGTCAAGGTGAAGTGTCATAAAGAAGCCTTCAGCGCGAGCCTGATCACTCCATTTCAATACAGGTGCATAATTGCCGCCGACCTTCACATGACCGACCCCTTTGGGCGCCGCTCTGTCAAAATCCTCCAAGATTAATGCCGGGAGAGGATGAACACCGTGATAGGCTTTATATGGCTGTACATAGATACAGAACTTGTATCCAGTTCCAGCCGAGACTGCAAAGAATGCATCTGAACCGAAGACCAGGGGCCGTATGTATAACGCAGCATCCGTGTCGTGCGGTGGGACATATTCAGCGTTCTTTACGACGGCGAGATTGACTCCACGCAGAAAAATGTCCTCTGGAATAGGCGGAATTGCAATCGTAGAGCAAGAGAGCGATAAGCGAGCCGCATGCTCTTTAGGACGAAATACTTGAATCAGTCCTTTAGGATCGCGATAGGCTGGAGTCATATCTAGTTAGCTCCAATACTTCCACATAAAGGCATGGAGATGGTTGACGTGCCTTTCATTCCCTCGAACGCTTGCTGCCCTTCGAGAGAGTCAGCTTCTCCTCTTCTCCTGGATTAAACTGCTCGTACCATAATTGAGTCCAGGTGCAAGACCGTGGATTCTGAGAAAAGGATCTTGGATAAACCGAGGTTCAGACCACCTGCTCGTGTTGACGGAGTAGTCAGATTCGACATGACCATTCACTACACAAAACCAAGATATCTTAGTGTTATGCGATTTAAGTATCCTCACATAGTGTGCCTCCCATGACTTCGCAGTCTAAACATACCATCCATAGGCGTTAGACCTAGTTTGTCCCATTCTAAGATGCGCTATGTATTAGCATAACATAATTGTGAATTCGCTGGTGCGGACTGGACAGACAGCTTGCTGCGTACCAAGGGCATCTGTTGGAGGGGGTAAATCGACCATTTTGTTTTATTGTACTTGGATATCACACAAATAATTATCAAATATGTAGGAGCTCAAACTCGCGGTCGGGACCGTTACGCTGACCCTTAGGGAAATTCTCTTTCCCCAGGGCACTCGCAGGACTGTCAAGTTAACTAAGTAGCAGGTTGCTAAACAACCTACCTCCAGCTGTTCTCTTTGCTGGATTAACTACGGTAGCAACTGCTAACCATGGCCGACATGGTTCCCGCAGATGTGACTGCCATGAATAAGCGTTTGATATCCTTGATGGGTGAAACCACCTGTAAATGAATTACACGCTCCTGTATTACCAATACAGAAAATACTGCGTGTTTGCAAATAGTTTAGGTTGGGTGAAACCTTAACTCAACAATCTTTCGGTGCCAAGGAAGCTTATCGAGGAAACTTGGAGTCGCAAGTGATGACAGGAAGTAAAAAATAATTTGAGCTGGGTAGCCTAACTAGTTGGAAGCTCCGGTTATCGAGGAGAGTTTGATATGGATCCTGCCGGTCATTCATTCATTCTATTAATTGGCTGTGTTAAGCCAGAGAGGCGAACACGTTCCAACAGCCATGCGGCCTAAGGTTTTCCATGGTAACGAGTGGAGTGGGTTTGCCGAATCAATCATCAAGTGAGTTAAGGTTGTCCCACAGGGTGGGAGCACTCGTGTGCTTGTTTAACTCACACTAGCCAGACACCCCTGTCAGCTTTGATACTGATCCTCCCACGGTCTTTGACGTCTTTATGGAGTAGGGTATGCAAGTATGTTGCTGTGTTGTTGTGAGCGGGCAGCAATTAGCCGGCACTATCCCAGAGCGAATACAACAGCGCTCGCAGGGGATTTCAGAACTGCCTAATTAGGCCTAGAGATATTGTATGAGCCATTTTGCGGCTGAGGGAGGTGCGGCTGAGGGAGGACTGGAAGGTGGGCGAGAGGCCAGGGGGTTGTTGCAGTCGGTGCAGGGGTGCGGGGCCGATGCAGGGGTTCTGCCCGACTGTTACACCCGTTATGGTCTCCACCTGATCTCCACTGTTTAAGCACGCTCCTCCGAATATATTGATGACCTGGACTGCACATAGGTAAGTAGCTAAATAGTGGAGGATGTGGGCTCGGAAGGGTCAAAGGTAGTAGTTTCTAGCGGAGTGTGAGGCCTGGGCTGGACCCCAAGTGTCAGCTGCCATCATGCATTGGTAGGGAGTAAACAGGGTACAGCGAGTGAATATTGGCTATGGTTACCTTGGAGGATGAAGAGTATGCACCCAGTATCTCAGGCCACCCTTCACCTCGATAACTCCGTAAAAGTGCCCCGAGTGCTCTGCATATATATCCAAAAGCGGTACATTGTCCGAAGGGCCAGAGTGAAGGACCAGAGTTACTGGAAGCGAAGCTCATCAATTATAGTCTCGAAATCTTCCACTTCCCCAATTTGAGGAAAATTGGCGATTGTAGGGATCCATGGGGCAAACCCTGTGTAGTATCCTAGGTAGAGGAAAGGATGGGAAAGCAGGATTGAGTAAGTTTTTTTGCGGTCCAGACTGTCGGCAATGACTTTCTTTATAGCGTAATCTACCTAGATGAATGGGGAGAATCATTATTTGTTATTTGATATCTCTTGTGAGCATTCACACGTCATAGCTTCATATTTGCTGCAGCAAGAATGCGAAAGGGCCCCGGGGGATCCCTTTCAAATAATTCCGTTGGTTGGCCTTCCTCGACTATCTCTCCGTTAGATATGACTGCGACACGGTCAGCGTCGAGAATAGTAAATATCTGGTGTGCAATTGTGATGACAGTTCGTGTCGCGAAGTGTTTCCGGATGATACTTTGCATCAGTTTATTCGTGTGTAGATCAACACTCGAGGAGACTTCGTCGAGAAGTAAAATGGATCCGGGTCGTAGCATTGCCCTGGCAAGACAAAGTAGCTGTTTTTGGCCAACGCTGAATAGCTCGTCTGATAGCTGAACTTCGATACCTCCCCGAGCTACGACTGTATCCCAGAGTGTCACTTCTTTCAAAACCTGATTTACCTGCTCATCACTGGAAGTCCCGAATGGGTCAACATTCTCACGGACGGTTCCCTGTATGAGATATGGTGTCTGGGTGACACAGACAAGACGGGTATAAAGGATTTCCTGGGGAATATCTGAAATATCGACACCATCTATGATTATGTTTCCCTCAGAGATGTGTAAAATACGGAATAGCGCAGAGATAACTGAAGATTTTCCACTGTGCAGAGACTTGTTAAAAACCACACATTACCATGAGGATGATGAGATATTTTGCCAGAAAAATAAAAATAAAATAAAATGAAATGAAATAATCAACATCTAGTTAGCTTACCTTCCACTTTTCCCACACAAGGCAATTTTCTCGCCCTTATGGATCGATAGATTTAAATTTTTGATGACTGGCGTAGAGTTAATCTCATATTCGGCAGTAACCCCTCGAAATTCAATAGTCCCATGTTCCGGCCAAGAAGGCGAGATGGTAGGCTCAGTTGTCTCGTCTTTCAATTCAGGGGACCGCTCTCGTGGTCGGCTTGACAAGGTATCAGTCGAAAATGAGCGAATGCGGGAGACAGCGCCAATGGATATCTCAAGCTGAGTCCAGTTGGCCATTAAGCTCTTGATAGTAGTACTGAACTGGACAATGTTTACTAGAGCGATGCCGGTAGATCCGGCATCAACCTTTCCCTTAGTCCGCACCGCAATTGAGACGACTATGACAGCAATAGCTGCGACCACAAGGTCAAGCACAAGGTTGAGCCAGCGCTGGACACAGAATAATAGATAAAATGGCTTCTGTGAATCATTAAGCGCCTGGTTGTTATGATGTTCATAATCTTTCTGCCAACCAAATGCCCGGATCGTAACGAGGCCAGACAAAGTTTCTAGGAATTTGGAAAATAGGGGGGCTTTAGCTTCAATGTCAAGCAGTCGCAGTTGTCTCGCAGTGCGCAGGTAAAACTTCTGAATCAGATAGAAGACGGTTAGAATAACTGGTATAGCGGCACCAATGTATTTCGACGCGACTGCGATGATGATTAGCTGGACTAGGCAAGTTATGAGTTCGACAGTCGTGTTGAAGAGAGCTAGGGGAAGTTCCATATCTGCCAATTGTAAATCTTGAGCAAACCGATTGATGGTGGTTCCCATGTCGGTACTTAGAAAAAATTGCAGAGGTGCATCCACGACTGTACTCAGGAGGCCTTCGTGGAATTGTCTCGAAGCTCTCGGTAGCATGTGCTCGGTCAGATACCTGTGTATTTCAAGTAAGCAACTGTAGTGGTTCCAGATTGGTGAATCGTACCATGCAGCAACAGCCAGAGAAACGATTGCCATTCCAGCAAGCCCAGCGTAAATTCCCAGGTATAGTTCAATATGGGAAATAGTATACTCCGTGTCCCGTTGTAGCCACCATTTTATGACAAAATCTTTATTTAGCTATGTTAGCAGTTATCCAGCGTGTAGTGAAAAACAAGGTGACTGACGTGGTAAGGTTAGACCGAGGACAAAAACCACGCAGACCGCAGCGAAGAAAGCTGCGCTCATAAAGTGAACTACTTGTATGTAGTACTTATAGACAGTCGTATCGCCAACCCGTCGTTCCTTTTCTTGAGGAGATGCAGTTAGAGGTCTGGCGCTAGAGAGTTCGGGTGTAGCCCCTATGTGGTTTTCATGGGATTGACCGGCCGAAGTTCGCTTCTCGGATGGTGCTGCCAAAGTTACTCCGCCTGACGATTCTTTTTCCAAGGCATCATTTTTGCTCACTTTGTTGCCGGTAGCATCAAGGTATATAGCATTATCTGCGTGGTTGAGGCGATTCACTGCTAATAGTGGTCAGCCACGATTTATCATCCGAACATGCTTATCAGTGTTTCCAAAACCAAGTTAAGTATTGAACTTCATGGATGAACTTACCGGCATTTGTAGCCAAAACTATAGTGATATTTTCCCTTGCCAGGAGGCCATGTTCTCCAAATAAATTGTGGAATATTAACTCCTCAGTTTTTGCATCCAGACCGGAAAAGACATCATCTAGCAGTACGAGCGTTTCTCTTGAATATAGTGCTCGTGCGATCCCCTGTATGAAAATATCAGTTTTTTTTATGCCTATCAAAATTGCTAAGGACTGAACGGCGATTGTTGCTCACCAGTCGAGCCTTTTGGCCGCCGCTCAAGGCCATTCCACCACTACCGACGATCCATTGGTCTCCGCAAGGAAATCCTTGGAGGTCATCTCGCAGCACGCAAGCATCTATCACCTGGTCATACCAAGTCGGCTGGAAGAGGTTGGAGCCTATAATGTTATCTCGAACGGTGTCGTTTGTAATCCAAGGTTCCTGGCAGCAATAACCGACCCTTGTAACTGATTTTTGGAGAGAGCCATTAGTATGCATTACCTCACCCAGAATCGAATGCAGCAGTGTTGACTTCCCGCATCCGACCGGTCCAACGATGAAAGTAACGGTCGAACGCAAAATTTCAAAATCCAGATTTTTGATAACAAAAGGCAAATCGGCATTCCAGCCAGCACTGAAGCCTTGAGCCCGAACAAAAACTTCTTTTCGTTTTTCTTCGTATGTGTCCGGCCTTGTTGGTATTGATAGAGGAATCATTTCAGCGCTGGATGCTTTGCTTGCGTTGGTAGCTGGCTTCGAAGCGTATTCACCTATACGTTCAACTGCTCCAAAGGCGGCAACAAACCCAGCAATGGCGTCTAAAACAAGCGCCATGGGAGTCTGCAGAAGCGCTAGTAGTGACAGTGAGGTATAGGCTTTTTCATAATCCAATACCTGAGAACCGTTCCTCAACGCCAGAAGCGTGTACATGGTGAACGCTAGCAGAGGCCCAGTTGCTGCCGTAGTGAAGGCTAGATAGGTGTGTTAGTGTATTCGTATCCAGGCTTTTATATTGGAGAATTCGGCCTACACAGTGTGACAATCATAACCAGCGCTTTCTTGAAGGGGCGGGATTCTGATATTTCCTTTGATCTTAGTTCCTGCAGCTTCTTTGCCGCGTGGCTCTGTAACCCGCCCAGCCGAATCTCCTTGATATTCTTTAGCATTGACGAGGTGGCATGCACTCTATTTTGAATGGCCTCTAGCCACTGTCGCTGGCGGGCGCCCATGCTAGCTGCCACAAGCAGTCCAGAAAGGGTGCATACTATTGTAAAGACGGGGGGAATTCTGGTTAGTGACTAGTTATCCAGTTGACCTAGCTGGCGATTGCAGGCTACGAGGGAGCTTTTAGTTACCAAGAAAGATTGCCGCAGGGGCAACAGCTGCGACTCCAAGCTGCTGCTGCAAAAGCCAGAGAGCAAGGCCGATATCTATCGGGCTCGCCCATATTTCATGGAAATAGCGTAGCCCTGAGCTGATACGCTCAATGTCCACACTCATCAAGGTGAGTGCGGCGGAATCACGCACCGCAGAGGTGTCTAGATGCAAGGTCTGGGTATAGATCAGCGGGACGAGGCTGCTGCGTAGCATCGTAATAAGGCGATATGTCTTGTGCTGGGTATTGGTGGTGGCCACCGCCAGGCCGATGTAAATGAGCAAGGCTGCTGCAATGAGGCCGTAGCCGTAGCGGCTGGCCAGTCCGTCGTCGTCGTCTGCTGCCTCTTCCGTGACATATCTCACGATGCGAGCCAGCAGGAACGGCTGCGTGAAGGTGAGTCCGGTCAGGCAGAGACGGGGGATCACAGCAGCAAGCGCCGCCCATAGATGGTGAGCGGCCAGCAGACGGACCAGCGCCGCCGGGGACTTGACCTTTGCTGCAGCAGCGAGTTAGCATCACTCATAAACAGGTAGCCAGAGATACTCATAATCAACAGGCAGTTCACTAGTAGTCTGGACGTACCAGCTTCCCACTGGCCCAGGAACGAGTCCTCGCCGCCCCTGAGACGCTGATCGATAGCGCTAAGCTCCTCGGCCTGCAAGATCTCACGGAACCCCTGGAGCAGCAGCGGGTTCAGCCACCAGAAGACACTGCGGTTGTACACGTTCGCGACGGTCTCTGCCGGGAGCCGCCCGGGGCCATCAGAGCCATCGTCTCTGCGCCCGAGCAGCTCAAGCACGAACTTGGCCAGGTCGGACACGATGCCGGCGATGAACACGGCGCAGAACACCCGCGGCTGCACCGCCCACAGCGTCCGCGCCCGCACGGCGTCGAGCAGCAGCGAGAGCCCCAGGAAGAGCGAGACGGGCGTGGACGGCCGCGGCGACCGGCGATGCTGCCAGTACGACAGGACGGCGACGGAGGCAGACGTTGCGGCGGCTATCGACACAGCTGCAACGGTTGCGCGGGTCGCCAGCGCTCGCCCGGGGACAAGCACGAGAGCGACGAGGACGAGCTTGATGCCGGTCGAGACGAGGTGCGCGGTCTAGCAGGGCATCATCAGACGGTCCGATTCTTCAACTACTGTGTCTACGGCCGCTCACCAGTTTGGAGTAGAGAAGAGGGCCGGCGGGCGCCTGCTGGTGGCGATTATGCTGATGGGACAGCCGGGCCAGCTGCACCGGCAGCGACAGCAGCATGGCGCTGCACACGCCGATGGAGAAGAAGGACTCCTCAAACAGCAGCGTGAAGTCGAAGCCATCGAGGCACTCTGGCGCCGCTGCAGGCCCAAATGCGTCCTCGGCACGGATGGTGCAGCTCATTCCAATCTGATAGCAGGGCTCACATACAAAGAATGCGATGTCTATGTCTGCTATGCGTCTCGTCTGGTTAAAGTAGTTGACTACGCGGCCATCAATCGTTAAATGACTAGCTGGAACTCCTGCTGTTGGCTCAGTTGGACGGCCAGAAACCTCCCGGTCCCCTTGCTCAGCTCGGTACCGAGTCTGTGCCGGCCAGCCAGTTGGTTACCTGTTGACCTGGCCCTGAGTTGCGTAACCAGAACAGCTGGTTGGCCGGATTGGCCTGGCTCGTTGGTGAGCTCGCTTGTCAGATATTACTATTTGAACCGGGTTGTCCGGAGCATCGCGGACGGTGGTTGAAGGATTCATATTATTACTGCAAGCGACCCTTCAGGGGGTCTCGACAGTTGGCCATGGACCATCCACACATGTCCTCAGCTGCGCGTCAGGGGCACACTCTCTCTTAACGGTGCCAGCCAGGCATGTACATACCCCGTGTGGATATCTGTTTGTCTAATCTTGGTTCAAATATCTGGTTAGTTAACTATCGGCCAGCCATGATAGTTACCACCTGCGTACAGATGGTATAAATTCCCTTAATCGCAAGAGACCTACGAAGATGCGACTGCTCGCAGGGAATATGCCACAATAACCACGTACCCCTCCGCGTGTCCCTCATGGGCATGGTAACGGAACCTGCTGGGCCACTCGATCTATTTTCAGGGCGAATTTCATTGTTACAGCCAGACCCTGTTCAGCCTGCGCCCCAATCACCGGCGCTTAGCCAGGATTGTTTGTTTGGCTTGCAGCCCCCCGGGGAAGAACAATCACATCAAATTGAAGGAGGGCTGCAGGAAATGGGCAGAGCGTTGAAGATATTTAACCATATCGGCGGTTGCTGCAATATGGATAATTGTCCTGCTGTGCATCCATCACCGAGCTGCGCTCCTTTCGATTCAACTACTTGTCCTGTTTTGACTTAACGCTGTCCTTCATTCAATACCCTCATGCCTCTCGTTTGTCTGCTGTGATTGACCTTCTTTTTCTTGTGTCTTTACGATACACCACATACCGTGTGAGCGAGGCAGAGAGCGAGTAAGGGACGATGCTGCGCTCCGTACCGTTTCTACTTCTCCTGCTGTCCGGCGTGGAAGCGCTTGTACCAACGCCTGTACGAACCGCTGTACCACAAGGCACCGTTCCTCATGCCGCTGCTGAGACTCCGTCTCCAACGCCTACATCACTAGCGACAATTGAACGGCGAGAATTTTCAATCTCGATCCCCCCGGTTTCAATCCCTCCTGTCTCCATCCCTAGCCTGTCGCTTGACCTGCCCGTCAACACTTGCACTCCAACCATCGCCCCTGACAAGAATGGCTGGGTGCCACCATCGGAATGCAACGCACTCTACCTCTACTACCCGTCTTTCGGGGCTGCCATTGCGTTTTCCGTCCTATTTGGCGCGGTGATGGTAGTACACTTTGTGCAGGCTACCATCTATAAAGCTGGCTTCGTCTGGGTTATCTTGATGGGAGCCACCTGGGAATGCATAGGGTTCGTCGCCCGGTCAGCAGGTACTCGCGACCAGCAGAGCTCCGGCCTGGCAACAACGGCTCAGTTATTTATTCTGCTCTCGCCCTTGTGTATAGTGCTCCCTCTCCTCCCTCCGTCCTGCTTAAACTTGCGACCCGTCTAACAGCATTCATAGGGGTTAATGCTTTTGACTACATGGTTCTTGCTCGTATGATCCATTTCTACATCCCCAGTCGAACCATCGGCATTTTCAAACCAGCAATACTAGCGAAGATCTTCATTGTTCTAGATTTCATTGCCTTTATCATCCAGCTCGTTGGTGGCGGCATGGCTGGGCCCGGACAAACACCCGAGGCCGCAATGCGAGGAATCCATATATACATGGGTGGCATTGGGATCCAGGAATTTTTCATCATCCTGTTCCTCATCCTCGCCATTCAGTTCCACCGTCAAATGCTCCACCTCGAGCATACTGGAAGACTGCAAGATTCCAAGCGAACCTGGAGGCCTCTCTTATACTCACTTTACATCAGTCTCTTCTTTATTACCATGCGCATCGTCTATCGTTTGATAGAATTCTCGTCCGGACACACTGATTCAAATCCTATTCCGCACCACGAGTGGTACATGTACGTCTTCGATGCCGTTCCAATGCTCTTCGCCATTGGAACATGGAACGTTGTCCACCCTGGAAAAATCATACGGGGCCCTGATGCCAAAATGCCTTCCAGCGGTATTAGTAAGATATTCTGCTGTGCCTGCTGCACCTGCTGCAGCCGGCGAAAGTCTTCGGATTTGCAGAAAATACCCAGTTCGGACCCTGTGGGAGATGAGATGTTGCCATTCCGACACCGGGCACCCTCTCCGTATAGATAGTATTCTTAAATTCTTTGTTTAAACTCATATTCATGATGAGACGCAAACTTTGCTTCTTTTTTTGTTGTCCCTTCTTTTCGATGGTTAATAGGCGTGAGGTTTCCTTCTATCTGAGGCAGCTATTCCTTTAACTTTATTTCCCACTTGATAGAAACATTCTATATGCCTATGCCAGGTGCTCAACGTGGATTTATTCGATGGTGTACTTTGCAGCAATCATAATGATCTTGTTTAGTTTCCGACAGTTGCATGTGAATATCTAGCTATAGCGTCATTAGGGAGTATCAGTCGGTCTAGATGTGTTCAGCCAGAGGGTTTAACAGAATGCTTTTTGCAAGTAAGAGATATTATAGATCCATATATCGTCCAAGAACCGATGGCATCGTATCTCCAAAATGCAAAGGAAGGGAATCCATCTCAGAAAAGTGCTTAACCGCCTCAAGCCCCCGTTTTCTCTTTTCTGTAATCATTGCCAGACTCTCGCTAGTAGAATCCCCATCCACTTCTTCCGTCGATGCCTCAGCATTTCCATCTGGATATAGTCCCATATACACAAGCACGTCCTGTGGCTTAACGGTTCGCCGGCCGTCCTTGAAAACATATCGACTCAAGGAAGAAGAAAGAATATAATTTTTTGCATCGAGACTCGATATATTTCCTTCTCTCCCAGTACGTTGAGACTTAGCTGAGGAGGGTCGCAGAGCCGACTTATCCATTCCATCCTTGACGAAGTAGCTGACGACATACAACCATTTTTCGTCCCAGGAAATCACTCGAGACCATATTTCATATTTCTGAAACGGCTTTATCTCCTTCTTAAACATGCATGACACTCCACCCAGCGCTATCCCCAGCGACTTCTCCTGGTGAGATCCCCTTTTTGGCCTGTCCTGTTTATTAACGGCGTTTATACCCTCTGCATTTGATGGCGACGCTGTACCATCTGCAGTTTTCCAGCGAGGAAAACCCCCCAAAATGTTCAGGAGTAGCTGAGTTCGATTTATGTCAAGGTCAGAGAAGAATGTGCTGTTGGATTTGTGCATATTATAGTCACAATCGATGGGAAAGTTGCGGTGCTCGGTAATTAAATAGGAGAATAGTTGGGGAACGCCATTCGGCTGGTCAGAGTTGGGTGATGAGGCATTGGTGATGCCGGAGCCAGCGGTACAGTCGTTATCACGGTGGAAATTCCGCCGTTTGGCATGGAAAAGCTGTGTTGTGATCCCTTTGAAAAGCCGTACCTAGAATGTGAAACAACCGGTAAGTCGGCAACGAAATAATCATAGCCCCCAACTTCCAAGAAACATACATGCCAAAACCCCGGGAGTCCCTTTATATTAATCAATAAAATGCCAGTGAACACCGCCAATATAGCATATAAAATGAACGGAGTTGCGCTGAGGCCTCCAACCGATCCGAATGCACCCAGAAGCGACATTGTGGTTTGAGGAATGGCACTCTCACTCATGTCAGCTATTGACATAAACGGGAGGGGAAAAATGTATGGACGGAGATTGGGAGCATAAGCTGCAAGGCTCAGGCCTACTTGCAGTCGATAACCGATAATCCAGATGTAACCTCGAGATGCCCGGAGAGTTAACTATCTGGCTCCACCATCATCCGATTTCTCCGGCTCGCTGTTGAACCAGCACCGGTAAAGTTCTCTGGGAATAAATGGAACCAGACCCCACGGGCCCCCAGCCATACCGTTTACCAAGTTATTGGTAATTATTGATAAAGTACAGCTGACTTACGGGTAGCCATAAATTGTGCCAGGGTCGTACATCAGTCCAGTCTCCATTGAGGCTTATTGCAAGGGCGCGAAGTCAGAACTGCTGATGATTGTTGCTTCTATCCCAATGGGGTATTCGGTAAGGGAAAAAGGAAGAAAAAAAAAAAAAAAAGAAATATATGTATATACATATATACATATACTTATTATTTGCAGGCCAAGAAGACAGTTATTGTAATTCACTAATGTCAGGGATGCGGACGTGTCATTGTACAGGGAGGGGTCGGTTATGCCTGTCAACCCACGAAGTATACTGGAGTATAGCCCTGCTGCCAGGGCTGATGCCATGGCATTACCAGTAACTTATTTGTAAACTTTCCTAGCGACAATGTGCCTGGCCCCCTAGAATGCATGACGCTGCAGTTAAGTTTTTTGAGTAAATTTTTACCCATTATAGCATGTTGACCGGAGGCTGTAGACTGTGGTGCGATCCTTCTAGATAAGCAATCACCGGCAGGATTGCTGACTGTTGGGGGCTGGGTAACAAGCCGAAGGACATGCCGTGAATTATTCCGTTCTAGGTCAGAGGTAGTGTTGCAAAATCAAGTGATACTTGATCTCGTAAATAGGCAGGAACATACTGGCTGGCCTGGGGACTACCTACAAAGTAGGAGAATTGAGCAGACATTTAACCACATAGATTTCGCAAATAGAATATAGTGGTATGATGAGGTGATGATGAGGTTATGGCCAAAACAACTTCTTGTCCGTACCACAATATCAATTCTTTGAACTGACAGCTACCCAAGGATTCGATATGGAGAGTCCGTGGTCCGTACTGAGCACTCACGAACCAGGCTCAACAACAACCTCCTGGGGGGACCAGCAGCAAATCGACCATGATTCTCCAGTGTGTAAAATATTGCTTCAAAATGGCGATGTCCAGTGCGAGTTTGACGTTCCCCATAGCATGGCTGTACGTGGTCGGGATCTTCAGGAGGCCTTTTCAAAGCAGGATACCGCAAAGTACTCATCAGCACTCGATCTATGTTTGGCTTTCTTGGAATACACCATGGACCGTTCGAACGAGGATTCCAACAGCCACAACTTTGATATGACCATCTTAACAAAAGGGCTCAGAAACATCCAGGAAAATATATTAGGCAATGAGAACATCAACACTGTCTTGACATCAATGGACTCCGCTATTGGCAATAGAGCCTCAATTCTGAGATCTTATTTTCGCCTTTGTGCCTTCACAAAATGCAAACCTTCGCCCGGGAATAGCAAACTTATAATGGATGTCCAGACGGGGAATGCAAAAGTGTTTGCGCTTTTCGGTGGGCAAGGTTTCGATGCCTATTTCAACGAGCTACTCGAAACCTACCAGATTTATCAACACCACATTCAAGCGTTTGTGCACTACATGGCTACCACTCTCAGGAGCCTTGCTACCAAAGATGGAGTCAAGGACGTTTATTCACAGGGGTTCGACGTTGAAAAGTGGTTGACCACGGAAACCTCTCGCCCTGATTGGAATTACCTGACTAGCGCTGCGGTCAGCCTTCCCCTGATTGGGCTTTCTCAGTTTGTCGCCTACGCCGTGGCCTGCGTAAATCTTCAACTCTCGCCAAGCGAACTACGAAGCAGCTTCTCAGGAGCAATTGGACATTCTCAGGGTATCATTGTGGCATCATATATCGCAGTGGCAGACTCATGGGACTCGCTTTACACCATAGCTCAGCAGGGGATGGAGGTACTGTTCTGGATCGGATGTAGATGCCAGCAAATTAACCTACACCCAATAACACATAGGGAGCAGCTATCATCATATATGCTAAGCGTCAAGGGGCTTTCTCATGATACGCTCCAATGTGATATTGACCAGCTGAACCACTATCTGCAACCGTCGGACGCGCTCCATATTGCCTTGATAAACGGACCACAACAATTTGTCGTTGTCGGTTCCCCACTATCCTTGAAAGGGCTACAAAAGAAAATCCAACTGAAAGATATCAGAGCCTCCAAAGCCATCAATCAATCACGAGTCTTGTTTAGTCAACGTCCACCGGTGATAAGTGCTTCCTTTTTGCCTATCACGGCACCATTTCATTCTCCATATCTCGAGGAGGCGCAAAAGATGATAATTCAAGATCTTACTTCGCATTCGTTGAAAGGATGTACCCTCGCTTTCCCTGTATTTGATACAGAGGCAGGAAATAACCTACAACACTGTGACAACATTATTCCCCAGCTGGTCCAAATGGTATGTACCAAACGCGTACAGTGGGAGAGCGTTGTGAATATGGCCCTGATAGGAGCTACTCATGTATTGGATTTCGGTCCCGGAGGGAGCGCAGGGATTGGGAGACTAATCCATCAGCAGAGGGATGGCACAGGATTAAGAACAATAATTGTGGGAGCAGACCGTGATGCTAGCTCGTTTTTCGGCGGCATGGGTGAATTATATGCTCGTTACTATCCTGTTAAGTATAGCGCTATCTGGGGTGACGAATATGCTCCTCGCCTTATCCGAACATCATCTGATGGCGCAGAGCTAGTGAGTACAAAGTTCAGCCGGTTCTTTGGTTCCCCTCCTGTGATGGTAGCAGGCATGACCCCAACGACAACAGCACCAGACTTAGTGGCAGCGATAATGAACGCTGGTTATCATGCCGAACTAGCTTGCGGGGGGTTCTCAGAGTCCGATAGTATGCGGAATGGGATACTCTCCCTTTCTGCCAGAATTTCACCCGGCCGTGGAATTACGTGCAATGTTATTTATGCCAACCCGAGGGCAATGGCATGGCAGATCCCACTGCTGCAAGAACTGCGCAGAGACGGCGTTCCTATCACTGGCTTGACCATCGGAGCAGGCGTCCCTTCTGAAGACACGGTTCGAGGCTATATCACTGATATGTCTCTGACACATATTGGTCTTAAGCCAGGCTCAAAGGAATCTATTGACGCTGTTCTGGGAATTGCACGGGCTAATCCAGGCTGTTCCATTCTTCTCCAGTGGACTGGAGGGCGTGGTGGGGGCCATCACTCATTCGAAGATTTCCATGAGCCCATTCTTAGTAGGTATAGTCAGATTCGAGAGCACTCAAATGTCATTTTGCTTGCAGGTAGTGGTTTTGGAGATGGAGATGAATCATATCCATATCTCTCCGGGGAATGGTCAAAAAGATATGGCTATCCCCCCATGCCGTTTGATGCTATATTGCTTGGGAGTCGCGTGATGGCCGCAAGAGAAGCCCACACCAGC